CCCAGTTGATGCCAACAAGCTCGATTTTGGTCTCATCTGACCACAACACTTTCACCCAGTTCTCCTCTGAATCATTCAGATGTTCATTGGCAAACTTCAGACAGGCCTGTATATGTGTTTTCTTGAGCAGGAGGACCTTGCGGGCGCTGCAGGATTTCAGTCCTTCACGGCGTAGTGTGTTACCAATTGTTTTCTTGGTGACTATGGTCCCAGTTGCCTTGAGATCATTGACAAGATCTTCCCATGTAGTTCTGGGCTGATTCCTCACCGTTCTCATGATCATTGCAACTCCACGAGGTGAGATCTTGCATGGAGCCCCAGGCTGAGGGAGATTGACAGTTATTTTGTGTTTCTTCCATTTGCAAATAATCGCACCAACTGTTGTCACCTTCTCACCAAGCTGCTTGGCGATGGTCTTGTAGCCCATTCCAACATGTCTGAGTGCATCGGACTTGAAACAACAACGATACAGATTTAACCATGTGCTATTCAATCAGTGTTTCCGCTATATTCATATATCAGCCGCGGATGGTATAACATTTAAGTGTAAACTTAAAACCAGATATAAAGTATTTAAAAAAGCTATATATTTTTAAATAAGATCATCTTTGAAAACTAACAATCACCAAAATAAAAACTAGACAGTCAGGGAGAATCTAAAATAAAAAAATATGGCATGGGGCCCCCAATTGATTTTGTTATAATGTTTGAGTCACTCAGATAGCATAAGAACATGTCATAAACCATGGCAGAATTGCAGGAATTTAGCTTTAAAACTGCACATTTTCTTTCAGCCCCATGGCAACATGTGTAGAATTGCTGGAAATTACTGTAGCTTTAAAGTAACTGTCCAGTGTTTCCAGATTTCTATGAAATACCACAGCTTTTCTGTGTTGGAATGGTGTGGGCGTACCCCAAAAACAGAATGGTGTGGGCGTATACCAGTCATTAAAAATATTAATGTGTGTAGACCGCTGATTGAGGCAGGATGACATAATTTTCTATGAGGAAATAGCAAGCATTTTTTAAACAGCTACACAGGCAGCCCAATTCTGATTTTCTTTTCACTAATTGGGCTTTTGACCAATCAGATCAGCTCTGAAAAATATTTTATGTGATTGGTCAAAAGACCAATTTGTGGAAATAATATCTGAATTGGGCTTCCTGTGATACATGCAGCCTGTGATAGTTTGATAGTTTGAGGTGGGGTTTTTGAAGTTTTTTTTTTCTCCTATTTATGCTTTGGCAACAAATATGAATATGACGAGTCAATAACATTATATGGGAATGAGTTAACAGAATTGTAACTTTTAAAAGTTTGATTTTCACTGGACAGTTACTTTAAAACTTTTTTTCTTCTTCTCTGCAGTCAAGAGGAGGGCCTCAAATGTTTGGTTGGAGACGCCGCCATTTGCAATGCCAACTACCAAAATGTAGTGTTTGCTCAACTTGTCTCATGTTCTTTCAACTAGAAATTATTATTTGGGCATCTTCACTAAAAAAGGCTGTGGAACTAGTTACACACACGGTGCATCACGAACAACTTTAGCATTTTAGCAAATTAGCAACGTTGCAACTACTTACTACCTTTTAGCTAATTTGCAACTACTTAGCATGTTAGCTAACCCTTCCCCTAACCCTAACTTTAACCCTTTAACCTCTAACCCTAACCTTAACCCTAACCCATAACCCTAACCCCTAGCCTAGCGAATATTAGCCACCTAGCTAATGTTAGTGTTAGCCACCTAGGCACCTAGCTAACGTTAGCCACAACAAATTGGCATTCGTAACATATCATACGTTCTGTGAATTCGTAACATATTGTACAAATTGCAATTCGTAACATATTGTACGAATTTGCGATTTGTAAGATGTCATATGAAATATAATTTGTTACATATCATATGAAATGGATGATAGACATCCACAAATGAATACATACCATATGAAACCTAACATATCATGCTAATTAGAGTGTCCCAGATTTAGATTTACTGTTACGTCTACCCCTGAGTCCATGTTGCATAGAGAGGACCACAATGGAATTAGGTGAATGAAAAAACAGAGAGAGGATGCTTGACATATGGAAACCGAGAGAATGAATGACAGAGGGGCGTGGTGGCTGGGTAGCGTATGGATTGATGGATGGATGGCTGAAGAGGTGAATTGAGGATGTAAGCTCTAAGCATCAGCTAACCCAGCCAGTTTAAGAGGTCAAATGGCCACTGCAGTCCTTCGGATGCAGATCCTGCTACTGCTGCTGCTGCTGCTACTGTAAACAACCCTCTTCTGCTCTGCCTAGTGCCTGGTGACTGGAGCTACGGTCAATGCTATCAGGGATCCTTGGGACATGACTCTGACGTTACCCCATTAAAGTTTACATTTAAAATGTTAAGGGTTAGGGTTAGGTAAGAGTTATGCTTAAGGTTAGGGTAGGGGTTAAGGTTAGGGTTTAGGGTAGCGATGTCCCAAGGATTCCGGATAGCACTAACCCTGGAGTTGCAGCGTTTGAGCTGCTGCTTTCTCTCTCTCTCTGTTCACAAAAACGAAGAAGAAAAGAAAAGTCGGAAAGAGAAGGAGAAAAGAGTCAGGAAAGAGGGAGAAGCACATAGAGAGAGAGAGAGAAAGAGGTAGAGAACGAGAGAGAGAGAGCCAGAGAGATAGGCGAGTATAGGGAGAGAGGAGAGAGCTAGATCTCTCTCTCTCTATATCTCTCTCTCTCTCTCTACTCTATCTCGCTCTCTCTCTGTATCTCTCTCTCGCTATAGCTCTATCTTCTCTCTCTCTCTCTCCTCTCTTCTCTCTCTCTCTCTCTCTCTCTCTCTCTCTCTTCTCTCTCTCTCTCTCTCTCTCTCTCTCCACCTAGTCCTACTGCTGCTGCTGCAGTTGCTTCTAGCCTGCCCAGAGCCTTTCGGTCTGCCTGCCTCTCTCCCTGTTGCTCTGGATTATGAAATTTTCAGTAGCTTTGCAGCAGTTTAGTCATGCGTTACAAAAAGGACTCCTGCATGCGTGTCTGTGTGTTGTTTGTGTGCATATCTGTAGTGTGTTTGTTCATAAATTTGTCTCTCCTTACGTGTTTACTGTATATGCATATGTAGCACAACTTGTGTGTGTGCGCGAGCAACTGCTTCTTTCCACTGTAATGTCATATTGGCATTCTTGGCATATTTAAATGGCAATTGGTACATGTCCAAATGTATCACACTATAGCTGGTCCTGTGTGGTTGGCTTGTAATGTTCAGTATATATGATAGCATTAATGCTGCCGGCCCGCTATCCTGACCCATATATATATAATGTAATGAAACAGGCAGGGAGCAGGTCTCAAACCCTCAACCTTCTAGCCCGAAGTCCAGCGCGCCATCGACTGTGCCCCAAAAGCATGCTCGCGTGGCACAGTTGATATCCGCGCTTATAATCCCAGGGTCGGTACACAACTCCCTCCTTTCAAAGTGCGCGTCCTCGCGCTAGTTTACAACTCAACGTCTTACAGGAACGCGCTCAACGGCCAAGCACACGCACGTTCCTGGATGCAAGGTCTGATCACTTCTGACACCAATGTAATGAAACAGGCAGGGAGCAGGTCTCGAACCCTCAACCTTCTAGCCCGAAGTCCACTGCACCATCGACTGTGCCCCAAAAGCGATATCCGCGCTTATAAACCCAGGATCGTTACAGTACATACAGCTCCACTAGTTAGCACTGTACTGTATTACCTAATAATGACTTACTCATCACCACTCAACCCTGCCTTACTTACATCAGGCTCTTATTTGAATTGCAATCAAATGAAGGTCTGCTAGCCACATGACTGAAACAAGTCAAATCCTATGGGTGTGTTTTGATTTTCATCCTGTGACTTATACAGTATTATTCCTCATACAGGGACATGTTTATGTCAAATTAACAACCAATTTTCTATAATAACTGTACAATATTTCATACATAACTGTACAGGATGTATAGAACAATTATAGTGCATGTTGGGGCATGTCAGCTGAGGATGATATAGTGTGCTCGCAGTATATGGTGCCTCTCTCTCTCTCTCTCTCTCTCTCTCTCTCTCTCTCTTTATTTCTCTCGTCTCCTCTCAGTGAAAGGCTAGATGGGGAGCCCAGTTTGAGGTCTCCCTATGGGGCTGGGGCACTCTCTCCTCTCCTCTCCTCTCCTCTCCTCTCCTCTCCTCTCCTCTCTTCTTTCTTTGGGCTAAAACACTGATCCGTGGTCTATGCTCTGCAAGGCTTAATGCAGGGAAGCCTTGTCTTGTTAAAAGCACGAGGGTACATATCACTTTTGCAAATGCACACAGGGTCTCATTAAAGTTTCATGCAAATCATCATGTTTTATTGAAACAATTATGAGGTTATCTGCTGAAAGAGGTTTGCCAGCCCCTTGCTCCTCTGTCGGGCTCTCTGCTCGCTTCCACTGCTTTCAAAACCACTACAGCCATCAAGGGCAGGCAGGGCAGGACACAATGTAGAGGCAGGAGCAGGACATTTCTCTACACACTGCACATTTTCCGTTATGATTGGTTGAAAGGGGGTGACGGGTAAAACCCAGACATTAGAGGCTGCCTGCCCTGCATCGAGTTTGTTTGGTGGCCATTTTCAGGATGTTGGATAGTACAGTATTTCAAACCTGTAGTTTACCTATGTTGATCTGATGTAAGATAAAGTGGAGAATTAGAAAATGATAGATTTATGCTTTTTGTTAGTGAAAGGTGTTTTTTTTACTCAAAACCGACAGTATATATTCTGGTAGAATAGAATACTAGTATTGGGAATTTTCTGTTCAAATAATAGATCAATATCTATATTATACATAAAAGTTTGGTATGATGTATATTATGGACAATGTTTTACCTGACATTTTTGTGAGCACATATGGGAGGATGAACCACCGATAGCTATTTTGGGTGTGCATGCCTTAAATTATTACTTCAATATTTAACTTCTCTGTTTCTCTTTCTCTCTTTCTCTTTCTGTTTCTTCTCTCCACAGACATTCATAGTGCTAAATAGAGGGAAGACAATCTTCCGCTTTAGTGCCAACCCTGCCTTGTACATCATAAGTCCTTTTAATATTTTCAGGCGAATAGCTATAAAAATTTTGATACATTCATATCCTTTTAAATGGTGTCCTACCAGGAGAGACAAAAGTCTTTCCTGTTCGTTTAGATTATTTATTATGATGTTGCTGCTTCTGTTGCTGCTGCATGCTGCTATTAATGTTCATATGACTACTGCTTCAGTGTAGGTAGTATAGTCTGTATCATGTAATGGGTTGATGTTCAAAATGGCACCCTATTCCCTTGATAGTGCACTATATGGAATAGGCCAGGGACGCACAGTCAGCGCTATATAGTCTGAAAGCTGCAGGTATCAGCAAGGGCAAAGCTGTTAACTACAGTGGGAAAAATACATGGATATAGTCTTTAATTTGAAGATTAATCTACCAATGAGAATGGCTAAATGCCAAAATGGATGATCCTTAATCTTGGAAAGAGAGTACATGTAGGATTTTACATTTCATCAATCCTTAACCTGACAACTGTAAACCCTCTTACTGAGCCCCCGTAGAGGGGCTTCTAAAGTCTTCTAAAAAGAGGGATTACTTTTTCTTCTTTCCCTTTTTTAGTATCTATTAACCCAGGCTAGCACCCCATGTGTCCCACAGAAACCTTTGGTAACGTCGACATACCTGTATTTACTCTTACCGAACTGATCAGATCAGAGCAGATTGCTACATTGGGAGAGGAGAGGAGTGGAGGGCTAGTGTAAGGGTGACTTCGATAAGATTGCAGCTATTAATCCAGTATTATGCAGTTATAATGTATTATTAAGACTTTTTATGATAAATGACCCCCTTATAATGTATTATTTTATCAGGATGACTCTCAGCCATGGAGAAGGGGGAGAGAACTCTGACTAATAATGATGTCACATCCAGTCTTTAGATGTTAGAAGAAGGGATAGCTATTGGCTACCAATATACAAGTAGATCAGATGGCTTAGTCCATACATCCTACATCCTTGGCCATTGATCTATTAAGATGCTGAAAATAACACTGAAACTGATCCTCATTCGTGATCCTGACCTGGGCACTGACCCCAGATAGACTTATAGACATTATATATCGCTACAGAATCGACAGATACAGTTACAAAATGTGTATTTGACCCACAATCAATCTATGCACCCACAATACATTGTGCTCGTATACCACAGAAAATCTGTGTGAAGGATTACTTTGAGATTTGAGAGTGAAATTAGTCTGGGGGTTGCTTTGGTTTTGCATTGAGGTTGCTGCTATTTTAACAGTCACACAAATCTAGGGCCCAAAGTCATAAAGCTTCTCAGACTAGGAGTGCTTATCTCGTATTAGTTTTAAGTTATAATGAATACAATTATATGGACGGGTGGACCTGATCGTAGATCAGCACTCATACTGTGAGACGCTTTGTGAATACGGGCCTGGTGAGTCTTAGTTTTTGAAATCCTACAATGTGTTGATACTTCAAGGTTAATCCTGTCTTGAGTAGTTTAATCATGTCAATCACTTCCTGGATTGGACTTCCCACTCAGCACCAATCACAGCCTGCCATGTGGGTCTGCTGACACATCAGGGTTGCATCTCAATAGTCTAAAGATGTGTCCTCTCCTTGTCTCCTACTGGTCGCCTCTCTTCGCTTCCCTTCTCTTTTTCATTAAACCACTAGACAGGTGAGAGCTATTTCATTGCTAGACAGACGACATTTTGGTTTTCACAGAGCCTGTTTTAAGATCAGTACAGATGAAGGAAATGAGATATAGAGGAGAGGAAGTCACTTTAGAGTATTAAAATACAGCCCTGGTTGCGCTACTGCTGACATTGGAGTTTTCCTGGTGATTTTACAGTCTTTTATGGCCAACAACGATTTATTTATGTATATATTTTTGCTCAGAAAACATGGGGGCCAAATCAAATCACCCACAGGTTGAATTTGGCCGCCTATTGGGGAACCCTGCTCTATGGTGTCAATTGTTTAGGTTGTGACCATTTCAGTTTGGACAATTTTGACTTATTTTGGACTTGAAATCATCCCTATAGCTAACATATGGCTGTCTTTCTTTAATTTGGACATCCCAGCAAACATATATTCTAGTCCCAAAACCGTAATTTACATATTTCTTGATATATTAGATGTTCGGTAGTGACACGTCTTAAAAATACATGAAGATTTACCAACTTGCTCACTCATTTCCTCCAAAATGTTTGCAGAAAGACTACTCACCATGTGGCCTGCTGGAGAGGGATGCAATCCCATCACCTGGTGATATTTGTAGGGATATGGCTTAAGGCACATTCATTCTACAGTCTTTTAATGTGTGTGTTTCGGTAGTGACATCAAAATGTGGGACAGCATTATTTTGAGACAGTACTGTATCATGATGTAAATAAATGTCCTAAGTTTGGAGACATAACTGTTTTTTTACTTGTTTTTTTGTGGGTGGGACTGCAATTTGCACCACTTCTGTAAAATCATCCATATAGTAATGTTCCTATGAGAGATAGGGAAAAGAGTGTGCATAATCTGCCTGAACTGAATGGAAGATTACCATCAAACGTAATGTGATAGATAGTAAACTGTTATGGATGACATTTTTTGTTTGTTTTCCACTGTGAATCTCTGGACTTTTCCTTAATTTGTTTCCCCACTCTTTTCAGCATGATCATTATGTGTACTATTTTGACCAACTGTATATTCATGACTTTTAGTGATCCTCCTGAGTGGTCCAAACAAGTAGAGTAAGTACACGTTTATTATATTTATCTACACAAGTACATAGTAAATACTAATACACGTTTATTATGCATGTCTCAACCTACACAAGTAAGATTTGATCAGTGGTGTATTACTAACCTTACTAATAGTCGTAGGATGTGTCTAAAATCTTTCTTGCCTACTACTTACTAAAACTACATACCGTGTACTAAAATGAAATCCTGGCAATTAGGCCATACTCAATTCCACATACTGTAAAACGTTATATTTTGGCATACCCAAATTGGCTTCTATTTAGAACGCAAGTTGGGTATTTGGACGATGCCTTAGTGTATTACCAGTACATCATTTCAACAGATAATAACTTGTTGTTCTTCATGGATTTGATAAATTGCTAATTCTGATCATGCTTCCATGCTTCTGTCTTCCAGGTACACGTTCACAGGGATTTATACGTTTGAATCTCTTGTAAAAATTGTCGCTCGAGGATTCTGTATAGATGGGTTTACATTCCTAAGGGATCCATGGAACTGGCTGGATTTCATGGTCATTTCTATGGCGTAAGTATCAGACTCCTATAGATACCTACCTGTTCATTCTTATAAGAAATATTTAGCATTATTACTGTGTGAAATCATTGAGTAGAGCATAAATACGTCTAAAGTTATTGTTACTGTCCAGAACTATCCAGTCTTTCTTTCTTTCTTTCTTTCTTTCTTTCTTTCTTTCTTTCTTTCTTTCTTTCTTTCTTTCTTTCTTTCTTTCTTTCTTTCTTTCTTTCTTTCTTTCTTTCTTTCTTTTGCTTTTTCTTTTCCTTTTTCTTTTTTCTTTTTTCTTTCTCTTTACTTTGGGAAAGAGGGGTTCAATCAGGCGTTTTCAGAAGGTTCCTGACCGTTCCTGCTTACTTCCTTATCTCTCCCCCATTTTCTCTCTCTTGCTCTCTCTCTCTCTCTCTTTATCTGTCTCACTCACTCACTCTCCATTTTTCTCTTTCAATTTGCTGGAGACCTCAGGATTCTGATCAAGGCTTCATCTCACCATGTTGAATTTGACATAATATAGTATAGTTAAGAATACATGACATGACATTTTTACAAACTAACTATAACGCTAACTATCTATAACTATATGCTACCCTGTTTTTGATGATACGTAGAACTAGTTCAGCGACTTACGAAGTGGGCTTTCAATATCTTAAACATCAAGAAGTGTTTCTGTTGAACCACTACATTTGTCTTTTTTATCTGTGTGTAAATAACAAGAGTTTGTAACTTTGATTTGATTCTGCAGGTATATAACAGAGTTTGTAAACCTAGGCAATGTCTCAGCTCTGCGCACGTTCAGAGTGTTGAGGGCATTGAAAACTATTTCTGTAATTCCAGGTAAGACAGGATGGGGGATGGGGGTTTGGTCCATGGGGTCAGTGTTAGGTGTATTGTGGGTCGTGTTTTTTCTTTCCTTTTTCCTTTCCTCCCCCTCAGTGGACAGGCTCTGTGAGTGGCGTCGTGGTTACCTCCTGGTTCGGTGCGTGCGTAGCGTGCGTGGTGGTGTTGTGGTGCTCTTGCGTGTGGTTTTGTCATTGGTGTTTGTTTGTGTGTGATCCTTCCCCTGTTTACAGATATATAACAGAGTTTGTGGACCTGGGCAATGTCTCTGCGCTGAGAACATTCAGAGTTCTCCGAGCATTGAAAACTATCTCTGTCATACCAGGTGAGATTCAGTTTAAACACTAAGGCTGATACTTATATCTCACCCTTTTACTTTTCTTATACTCACTATTATTATAATTTTTAAGCAACAAAAAAAATAATTGGAAATAATAATCATTTTTATTGTTTTATTTTTCTCCAAAATTATCAAAAATGGTACTAATACATTTTTGATAGGCTTCGCAGTCTACTCCAGGGCCCTCCAAAGTGTCTGCACTCTCTTCTTCCCTAGTAAAACTCTCATCCTAAATAAGGCTCTAGTTTCCAAGGCAGCTGTGGTTCTCCTCAGAAATAGCTGTAAGCCTCTGCAAATGGCTATTATTTGGAATAGACAAAAGCAGAATCCCCACCTCTTAAGAAAAGGACACTGACAGTACCAGTCCAATAGCATATCACTAGAATACAACCAGAGACAAAGTCAAATATATATATTGATTAAATATGGGATAACATTTTTCTTTTTGCTTAACATAAGGAATCGCTTATAATTAACTAACCTTTCCTGATTCACTGTACTGTGTACACTTTGGCGAAGACAGTTGAGCTCATCAGCTACTGTAAAGCTCATCCAAAGTACTTTTACCATTGGAAAAAGCCTCCAGGTTTTTCGGGAGATGAAGATAATTATTCATATAATACAAAAATAACTCGATAATTGGCTTGTAAGAAAATATTAAATTAACCAAATCCATTTACATTATTTATTACAAAGGATGGAAATGTCAGAATTTTACTCTATATATCCGGCTTGAAGAAGAAAGCTAGAGTATGTTGACGTCAAGTTGAGAGCTGACATAGCTCTTAGTGACAGCCCACAGAATATATCCAGAAACGTATATATATAGAGAGTTAGGCCAGGTTTTAGAACGGCTGCCACGTTAGCGTCCATATAGAACTTTATTCTTGAAATGTTGGTGCTGATGTAACAATACGAGAGCACCTCCGACAAATGACCCGCTGTAAACAAGCAAAACAGAGCAGCGAATTTAACAGACGTTTTTTACTGATTAGCATTCTGGATAACGTGGTGTAGTTTCAACAAATTGCATATTTGCTTTCACTGGACATTCATAGGTTTTGAAAACTATCAGAAATAAACAGCACAACACGGAAGCGTTAATTATCACTTTGCATTGGCTACGGAGGAAAAAGTGCTGCTCTCGGAATGTTCAACCGCATTGGCCTAACTCTCTCTATATATGGCTCTGAATATATCTATTATTGATGAAGACTGCCAAGCCTAGTTTGTGGACATATTTAATGCTGCATGATGCTTTTTAGTCACTTGTTTTACAGTATTAGCCTACTAAGAAGCTTGGCTGATGACAAATGGCATTGAAAACGTTTGTTTTTCCCGTTTTCGTTTGTTGTTTTGTTTATTTTGATGATACATTTTTAGAAATAATACTTGACTAGAAAATAGAACACAACCTTATTTTCTGTTGATATTCTAAAGCGTTGTAGAATGCCGATGGGGGAACTAAATGACCCACTAACCTTTAATTGAGTCAACGCATATTATACCTAGAGTACATACAGTACCAGTCAAAAGTTTGGACACACCTCATTCAAGGGTTTTTCTTTATTTTTACTATTTTCTACATTGTAGGATAATAGTGAAGACAAAAACACTATGAAATAACACATATGGAATCATGTAGTAACCCAAAAAGTGTTAAACAAATCAAAATATATTTGAGATTTGAGATTCTTCAAAGTAGCCACCCTTTGCCTTGATGACAGCTTTGCACACTCTTGGCATTCTCTCAACCATCTTCATGAGGTAGTCACCTGGAATGCATTTCTATTAACAGGTGTGCCTTGTTAAAAGTTAATTTGTGGAATTTTTTTCCTTCCTAATGCGTTTGAGCCAATCAGTTGTGTTGTGACAAGGTAGGGGTGGTATACAGAAGATAGCCCTATTTGGTAAAAGACTATGTCCATATTATGGCAAGAACAGCTCAAATAAGCAAAGAGAAATGACAGTCCATCATTACTTTAAGACATGAAGGTCAATAAATCTGGAAGATTTCAAGAACTTTTAAAGTTTCTTAAAGTGCAGTCACAAAATCCTTCAAGCGCTATGATGAAACTGGCTCTCATGAGGACCACCACAGGAAAGGAAGACCCAGAGTTACCTCTGCTGCAGAGGATAAGTTCATTAGAGTTACCAGCCTCAGAAATTGCAGCCCAAATAAATGCTTCACAGAGTTCAAGTAACAGACACATCTCAACATCAACTGTTCAGAGGAGGCTGTGTGAATCAGGCCTTCATGGTCGAATTGCTGCAAAGAAACCACTACTAAAGGACACCAATAAGAAGAAGAGACTTGCTTGGGCCAAGAAACACGAGCAATGGACATTCGATCGGTGGAAATATGTCCTTTGGTTTGATGAGTCCAAATTTGAGATTTTTGGTTCCAACCGCCGTGTCTTTGTGAGACGCAGAGTAGGTGAACGGATTATCTCTGCATGTGTATATTTTATATTTTATATTCTTCAAAGTAGCCACCCTTTGCCTTGATGAACCCTTTGCACACGCTTGGCATTCTCTCAACCAGCTTCACCTGGAATGCTTTTACAACAGTCTTGAAGGAGTTCCCACATATGCTGAGCACTTGTTGGCTGCTTTTCCTTCACTCTACGGTCCAACTAGGGCTGTTGCCATGACTGTATTACCGCCACACCGGCGGTCATGAGTCATGAAGACAGACAAATTCCACATGACCGTTTAGTCACGGTAATTAGGCTTCTCCAAGTTCTGACGCTGCTGCTGGTCATTAGTAGCCTACCTTGCTAACTGCCTGGTACTCGGTACTCTATTGTCCCTCTAATCACTCTGACATCAATGCAAATGTGTCGAAAATCTAATCAAACACTTCACGAGAGCCCATGAGCTGATGTTGCGCAACATTTCTATAGGCTATGCAATTGCGGGAGAAAACAGAGTAATGGCCGCTAATAAAAAGAGGAGGATCCCATCAGCTTTCTATAGGCTAGGTCTACTATATTTATTTCTCAACATTCCTAATATTAAGCATATTGCTTATATTTACAACAGGAGTATAGCCTACCTGGCTGGCATGAAAAACGTCCTCCATTCGCTATTTATTTTTTCCCGCTGGCCCATTTCGATACAGGTGCATGCCAATGGTCCATTCTAAATCAAAACAAATGTCACACATAAATGATTTAGTATATGTGAAGACAAGATTAAATCAAGAATAGTCTGATGGGTGACAATATTAGCCTATCACTGAATTATATATTATCACTTGTGAATGATGTCCAGCATAAGAAACAATGCCTTTTTTTTGCGACTTGTTAAAATCATAGTCGCACACCTCATGTAGCCTAGCCTCTAGGCCTATATGTTTTAAAAAGGTTTGTATCACAACTAAAGTGACCAAATAACTTCTTAAAATTAAGCACATTCATCCGCTTTACAAGGGGTGTAGAGCCTAACTGGCATATATAAGCAGAATAGAATAGGTCAACCTTTGCACCATGGGGGATAGTAGTTTGACATAGGCTAGTGCTTTTGCTGTTCGTTAGGCCTACTCATCTTGTTGGCTGATGAAAAGTAAATGTGGACAGTTCTTCTAACATCTTCAACATGCACCTCGGAATTGGATAAGGACGCACGCAGTTGCGTCCGCGATGTGTCTGTCTTCAACTTGTAGCCTGTGAGAAAGACCCGATCACGTGACGGAGAGCCGTGTGAGTGAGAGACGCTTCGGATTGCGCAGCACACTCAAGGAGAAGGGCACAATGCAGCACTCCGGGCCGCAAAAGGCATGGATTTTTTTAGGGTGCATTACGGCCACAAAAGGGGATGCCGCCGTGAAATTCGAGGCATTATCAAGTGCTTGTCAAATTGTGCATGAGAGACTTTTGGAGTGTGTACAGCCTGCGCAAAAAACAAAGCAGAGCTCATGCCTTTCAAGCGACTTTTTTCAAATCATCATTAGAGTCTCATCATGCAGCCTTACATTGTATTAAAAATCAAAACATATAGCCCAACGTTTGTAGAACAACTAAAGTTACATTAATAACTCTAAATTAAGTATATAGGAGTACCTATTTCTTTGTTAACCGCTCAACACAGAATAGCCGCATGTGCGCACTCCCTTCAATCGTTTGGAGAAAATATGTATATTTTATTCAGCTTTGTTCAATTGTATTCTTCATACTATAAAATAATATAAAATAATGCCACGGAATTATAAGCAAATCTTGTCTGCTAAATGAACTAGTGTAGCCCACAGCCATTTGGCATAGCCACATCAGGACCTAAAATAAGGACAACTCAGAGTATGCTATTATTTTCTTCTGAAATAGACTATATTTTCTTCATATCATGCTTCTTTAGACCTGTCTAAAATAAATAATGGATTTATTGTGAAGGTGTAGGCTTTATTACATGGATTTATTAGACTTTGTCAAATGGCCTGTAGGCTATGTGTGGAAGCCAGGAGATGCTAAATGTGTTTATGTTAATTAATGGTCAATTACCGTGAGACAGACAGTTATTTGCTTGACAATCACCGGCTGACAACATTTTGTGACTGCCACAGCCCTAGGTCCAACTCATCCCAAACCATCTCAATTGGGTTGAGGTCGGGTGATTCTGGAGGCCAGGTCATCTGATGCAGCACTCCATCACTCTCCTTCTTGGTCAAATAGCCCTTACACAGCCTGGAGGTGTGTTGGGTCATTGTCCTGTTGAAAAACAAATGATAGTCCCACTAAGCGCAAACCAGATGAGATGGCGTATCGCTGCAGAAGGCTGTGGTAGCCATGCTGGTTAAGTGTGCCTTAAATTCTAAATAAATCACTGACAGTGTCACCAGCAAAGCACCCCCACACCTCCTCCTCCATGCTTCACGGTGGGAACCACACATGCAGAGATCATCCGTTCACCTACTCTGCGTCTCACGAAGACACAGCGGTTGGAACCAAAAATCTCAAATGACTCAGACCAAAGACCAGATTTCCACTGGTCTAATGTCCATTGCTCGTGTTTCTTGGCCCAAGCATTGTAAATAAGAATTTGTTCTTAACTGACTTGCCAAGTTAAATAAAGGTTAAATAAATAGCCCACGTTCCCCCTTAGAATACATCATCTAATGTTGTTTCCCGCCATTCCTTAATTTTGGTATAGCGCGTCCTCTTCAAATCAAATTTTATTTGTCACAGATGTTATTGCGGGTGTAGCGAAATGCTTGTGCATCTAGCTCCGACAGTGCAGTAATATCTAACAAGTAATATCTAACAATTTCACAACATATACCCTATACACACAAATCTGGTAAGGAATGGAATTTAAAAATATATACATATATGGACAAGCAATGACAGAGCAGCATGGACTAAAATACAGTAGAATATTATAGAATAGAATGCAGTATATACATCTGAGATGAGTAGTGCAAGATGTGTCTGCTAAATGATGTAAATGTAAATGTAAATATGTAAACATTACTAAAGTGACTAGTGTTCCATTTCTTAAAGTGGCCAGTGATAATCTTATCTGATTATCAGCTTTTGTCAAATACACGTGGTTATGAAAAGACGATTCTCTTCCTCAATAGCATGAAAAGCCGAAAAGATTATGACATCCTGGCATTTAAAGCATACACATTTTTAGAAACTTCACATACTAAAAAACATTATATTATCGCATACCCAAAATGCTTACTATTTAGACCGCAAGTATGGGTATTCGGGCAGGGACATTAAGAATAAATAGATGTTATTATGTATGAAGTAAATTCACTCAGGAGCGTCACTGAAAATATAGAAAATATAGTTTATTATTATGTCAACGATATATTGATTAGGTGCATGACACCTCACTAGTGGTCCATTTTATGCCACTAGTCAGCGTCGTAGAGGTTTAGGTTTTTGGTGCGTTCAAGACAACTGGGGACTCTGAAGAAAACTAGCTCAGACTGTGAAAAATCGTGACATCAGTGATCTCTTCATGTCGGAGAAGTCGGAGCTCTAGGAAGATGCCAGAGTTTCCGACTTGTAATTCCGAGTTGGATGGCCGTTAAAAACTTTTTTCACAGTCTGAGCTCATTTTTTTCAGAGTTCCCAGTTCTCTTGAATGTACTGAAGTCAGAGTTCGGAGATTTCCTTGTTCCGAGTTCTGAGTTCCGAGCTGTCTTGAACACACCATAAGATGGAAGCATATTATAGAAGGAGAGGTGGAGGCCAAGCCTGTTGTACCAGTAGAGCAGGCTTGGCCTGCACCCAAAATGGGCCCTGGGTATGTGAGAGGTGAGTCGTGAGTTATGAGAATACACCCTATTTCTTCTTAATTTGGGTTGTTGGAGGACGATTTGGGTCACGGATGTTCAATTTCACATTTGAGTCTCGAGCTGAAAAAGTTTAAGAACCCCTGATTTAGAGGGTCAACAGAAGCCCCTTTGGGGTTTCGGTTCCATGTTTGAGGGGACATTCCGGTTCCAAGAGTAAGAGACATTCCGGTTCCGGAAATGTTTGGAATCCTCCTGCACTTTATGGACCCATTGCTTCAGCCACTGTGAGTTCTGCCTGAGGATGATGCCTGTCCTGAAGGTAAAATAATATGATTCTGTCTTCAGTAAAGCGCTGTAGGTTTGGGGGAAGAGCCTGGCTGTAGTAGGGTTGGGCCAAGAAGGGGTAAGAGTCTGTGCTTTAACCTAATGACACTAAAATACAAGATAAATGAAGAAAGGAAAGGCCCCAGAGTGGCAATGGCATTGAATTGTTTCTGTTCAGCCTTGGAGTTTAAATGACCTGCATGTGGTTGGTTTCGACCCCCTGCCTGCCTGTGCCTCTGTCCTCTTATCATGGCCCCCTTGTTGTGCTGCTGTGCTTCCTTTCTTTCTTTTCCTTTCTTTCTTATGGATCTTCCTCTCACTGTTCTGTTTCGTCCTCCCCCTCTAGTTCAGGTGTAATCCAACACTGGCCCTGCTGGCTAGAAGTGCAAATCTTTTGAAAGGCAAGATACTATAGGTCTCTTCCTGGTTCAATAGTGATATCTCTTCCCGGTTCAATAGTGATATATTATCTCTGTCATATTTTTCTCTGACTAACTGTATAAAGCCAGTGACTGTCTCAATACTGAAGCTCAGAACAGAGGGGGATGGCTCTTGGATATTTCTTGTTCGTTTTTTATTTTAAAATGTGTTGTATGTGTTCAGTGGTTGAAATTTGTCTAAAGTTGGACTGTCTTTAACCAATGAAATGTAAATTTAAGTGGGATTTCTATGATTATGTTCTTGAAACTACTTTCAGGATTCTATTTGGCAAAATTAAATTAAATGTCAGTTTTCCAGCCCATCTTCTTAAAGACAATTTTACGTTTTTTGATATACACTGAGTATAACAAACATTAGGAACACCTTCCTAATATTGAGTTGAACCCCCCCACCCCTTTTTGCCCTCAGAACAGTCTAAATTCGTTGGGGGTATGGACTCTACAAGGTGTCAAAAGCGTTCCACAGGGATGTTGGCCAATTTTGTCTCCAATGCTTCCAACACTTGTGTCAAATTGGCTGGATGTCCATTGGGTGGTGGACCATTCTTGATACACACGGGAAACTGTTGAGCATGAAAAAGCCAGCAGCGTTGGAATTCTTGACACAAACCTGTGCGCCTGGTACCTACTACCATACCCCGTTGAAACGCACTTACATTTTTTGTCCTGCCCATTCACCCTCTGAATGGCACACATACATAATACATGTGTCAATTGTCTCAAGGCTTAAAAATCCTTCTTTAACCTGTCTCCTCCCCTTCATCTACACTGATTTAAGTGGATTTAACAAGTGACATCAATAAGGGATCATAGCTTTCACCTGGATTCACCTGGTCAATCTATGTCATGGAAAGAGCAGGTGTTCTTAATGTTTTGTAAACTCAGTGTATACATAATATATAACATATTATAAACTGGGTGGTTCGAGCCCTGAATGCTGATTGGCTGACAGCCGTGGTATATCAGACTGTATACCACGGATATGACCTAACATTTGTATTGCTCTAATTATGTTGGTAAACAATTTATAATAGTAATAAGGCACTTCAGGGGTTTATGATATATGGCCAATATACCAGAGCTAAGGTGTTGCATCGTGCATAAGAACAGCCCTTAGCCGCGGTATATTGGCCATATACCACACCCCCTCGGGCCTTATTGCTTAAATATAAACTGTATATTATACTGATAACATTTACATTTGTTTTGTATGTGATTAAATACCCAACTCAGGCATTAGGGATTAATATGCGTATTATAATGGCTCCATTCCCATCACACAATATACTGTAAGTTGAATAATGTCTGAAGGAATGAACGTAAAACAGACAGGATAGTACAGCACATTACATTACTGGAGCTATAGCACCTTTAAAAAATAGCAAAGTCACCTTGTCTGGGAACTTCAAGACACCTTGAGTATACACACCTTCTGCATCACCTCTTTGGTTTGTGCGTGTGTGCGTACGTTTGTCTGTTCGTCCGTGTGTGTGTGTGTGTGTGTTTCTCCCTCTCCAGGACTGAAGACCATTGTCGGTGCTCTAATCCAATCTGTGAAGAAATTGTCAGACGTTATGATCCTCACGGTCTTCTGTCTCAGTGTCTTCGCTTTGATTGGACTACAGCTCTTCATGGGCAACCTACGGCACAAATGCGTGATTTGGCCAATCAACTCCACCGAGAACTACTTGGCCAACGGCAGCAAAGGCTTCGACTGGAAAGAATACATCAATAACGACAGTAAGTAGCCTAGTCACAGTCAAACAGTCCAGGGTTGTGTTCTTTAGGGCACAGTGGCACACCATAGTAAAAGGTTTCAATTCTCTGGAAAACTTTTTGTCCTATATCCCTCTACATAGCTAGAAAGAGATGTTATTCTGATGATGTTCTGTGTGTGTTTGTTTCTTTCACCAGCCAATTTCTACTTCCTGCCTGGACAATTGGATGCCCTTTTATGTGGCAACAGCTCAGATTCTGGGTGAGTAGCTACTCTGTCTGTCTGTCTGTCTGTCTGTCTGTCTGTCTGTCTGTCTGTCTGTCTGTCTGTCTGTCTGTCTGTCTGTCTGTCTGTCTGTCTGTCTCCTTGTCTCTCTGTCTCCTTGTCTGTCTGTCTGTCCTTCTCCTCTTCAGACCCACTCTTCTCTTATTATTTTATTAAACCAGACAACTGTACGATATGGCAGCCATTATGTTTTTGTATGTACAGTGCATTCGGAAAGTATTCAGACCCCTTCACATTTTCCACATTTTGTTACTTTACAGCCTTTTTCTAAAATTGATTAAATAAAACATTTTCCTCATCAATCTACACACAATAACCCATAATGACAAAGCGAAAACAGGTTTTTGGATTTGTTAGCAAATGTATTAAAAATAAAAAACAGAAATACCTTATTTACAGAAGTATTCAGACCCTATGATATGAGACTCGAAATTGAGCTCAGGTGCATCCTGTTTCCATTGATCATCCTTGAGATGTTTCTGCAACTTGATTGGAGTCCACCTGTGGTAAATTCAGTTGATTGGACATGATTTGGAAAGGCACACACCTGTTTATATAAGGTCCCACAGTTGACAGTGCATGTCATAGCAAAAACCAAGCCATGAGGTCGAAGGAATTGTCGGTAGAATTCCAAGACAGGGGCTTCGAGGCACAGATCTGGGGAAGGTTACCAAAACATTTCTGCAGCATTGATGGTCCCCAAGAACACAGTGGCCTCCATCATTCTTAAATGGAAGAAGTTTGGAACCACCAAGACTCTTCCTAGAGCTGGCCGCCCGGCCAAACTGAGCAATCGGGGGAGAAGGGCCTTGGTCAGGGAGGTGACCAAGAACCCGATGGTCACTCTGATAGAGCTCCAGAGTTCCTCTGTGGAGATGGGAGAACCTTCCAGAAGGACAACCATCTCTGCAGCACTCCACCAATCAGGCCTTTATGATAGAGTGGCCAGACGGAAGCCACTCCTCAGTTAAAGGCACATGACAGCCCGCTTGGAGTTTGCCAAAAGGCACCTAATGGAATCTCAGACCATGAGAAACAAGATTCTCTGGTCTGATAAAACCAAGATTGAACTCTTTGGCCTGAATGCCAAGCGTCACATCCCGAGGAAACCAGGCACCGCTCATCACCTGGCCAATACTATCCCTACGGTGAAGCATGGTGGTGGCAGCATCATGCTGTGGGGATGTTTTTCAGCGGCATGGACTGGGAGACTAATCAGGATCGAGGGAAAGATGAACGCAGCAAAGTACAGAGAGATCCTTGATGAAAACCTGCTCCAGAGCGCTCAGGACCTCAGACTGGGGCGAAGGTTCACCTTCCAACAGGACAACGACCCTAAGCACACAGCCAAGACAACGCAGGAGTGGCTTCAGGGCAAGTCTCTGCCCAGCCAGAGCCTGGACTTGAACCCGATCTAACATTTCTGGAGAGACCTGAAAATAGCTGTGCAGCGACGCTCCCCGTCCAACCTGACAGAGCATGAGAGGATCTGTAGAGAAGAATGGGAGAAACTCCCCAAATACAGGTGTGCCACGCTTGTAGCGTCATACCCAAGAAGACTCGAGGCTGTAATCGCTGCCAAAGGTGCTTCAACAACGTACTGAGTAAAGGGTCTGAATACTTATGTAAATGTGATATTTCAGTCTTATGTTTTTATAAATTTGCTAAAAACCAGTTTTTGCTTTGTCATTATGGGTTATTGTGTGTAGGTTGACTAATACATTTCCGAATAAGGCTGTAACGTAACAAAATGTGGAAAAATAATATTTTCAGAAAAGCACTGTATACAGTATAATGCTCAGTCATCGTATGACTGTGTTGCCCTCTCCCCTCTCCCCCACCCAGCCGCTGCCCCGAGGGCTACACTTGCATGAAAGCTGGGAGGAATCCAAACTACGGCTACACCAGCTTCGATAGCTTTGGATGGGCTTTCCTGGCTCTCTTCAGACTCATGACACAGGACTTCTGGGAGAACCTCTACATGCTGGTAAGCACCGAATTAAATGGAACATACAGTATGATATACAGTATGATATACAGAATACATTATGATGTACAGTATGATATACAGTATACATTATGATAAACAGTATACATTATGATATACAGTATGAAATACAGTATACAGTATGATATACAGTATACAGTATGATATACAGTATACATTATGATATACAGTATGCTATATGGTATACATGATGATATATAGTATGATATACAGTATACATTATGATATACAGTATGATATACAGTATACATTATGATATACAGTATGATATACAGTATACATTATGATATACAGTACGATATACAGTATATATTATGATATACATATCACATACAGTATACCGTATGATATACAGTATACAGTATGATATACAGTATACATTATGGTATACAGCAGCCTTGGCACGCAAGGGTATTTGCCTTGTCATCAGTAAAGAAAAATGAGGCAGATGTCCGCTCATTTATTGCCTCTTGGACAAAGGAATATGGATTCGTTTTACTGAAGGACCGGTCTGTTTGCGCTCTCTGTTGTAAAACTGTTGTTTGTTGGACATTAAGTGTATGGCGTCATTTTGAAATGAGACATGAGAAAAACTTAAAGGATGAGGCGGACACGGCTGAAGGAATCAAGAGGGCCGTGTCCAGATAGGAAAAGCAAAGCAGTGTGTTTACAAATCTACATGCAGTCAAAAATCAAGCTACATAGGGGAGCTACAAAGTTGCGCAGTACACTGCTAAACATGGAAAACCATTTACTAATGGGGAATATATCAAGGAGGCTTTCCTCAGTAGTTTGCAGGCTTTATTTGATGGATTGCCTAACAAAGACACAATCATCTCAAAGATAAAATACATGCCTGTGTCTACCAGAACTGTTGAAAGGCACATTACCGAGATGGTTGAAAATGTAAAGGCACAGCAAACTGTAACGTTAAAAGATGCACCTGTGTTTAGTGTGGCTCTTGATGAGAGTGTGGATGTGAATGACATTCCACGTCTGGCAGTTGTTGCAAGATACTGTGACTCAGAGCAGGTACGCGAGGAGCTGCTTTGACTAAAACCCATGCATGGTACTACTAGGGAAGATGTAGAAAAAGCCTTCCCAGATCATTTTGAGGAGAGAGGTGTCGATATTAAAAACATATTTGCTATTACACATAAAGGATTCGCAAAAGCTGATTGAAGATAAGATTGGTCACCCCGTGGTTAAATGTCACTGTATCATTCACCAAAAGAATCTGTGTTCCAAGATCAAGCCCGTGGCGCTAATGGGCAGCGCCTTTGTTTAGCGAGCTATAGAATTCTTCCATTTGTGGGCAATTAAATATTCTATAGACACAATTAGTTGTAATGCATATATTAAAATCATAACTGGCACGCAAATCGTTAGAAATGGTAGGGTAAATTGGCACTCTACACAAAAAAGGTTACCGACCCCTGATATACGGTATGATATACAGTAAACATTATGATATACAGTATCTATCAATGATATTGTATCTCTATGCTGGTGAGACAGGCTTGTTGTTTCACATGTTCATCCTTGGTTTTCGATTTTGAGTCAAACGCTAAATGCTTTGTTCACATATTCAGCTGGCCGATTTGCTTGCCTTTGGGTCATATTGCTACATTACATCTTCACACACTTCCTCCCCCCAATTACAGTATAGATTACAGCACAGTATAGCAATAACACCTGGGGGAAGGGAGGATAGTAATTCCTTATACCTGAGATACAGGGAAAATGGCACCCTATTCCCTATATAGTGCACTACTTTTGGCCATATATTTTCTTGGGATTTTTATGTCATACACTCTCAGAGAGAGTGGGATATGTAAAAAAACACATTTTCAATAGGACAAATATAATCACCCACCAATATTTTTGTTTTTGGTGTACTTTACTTTTGCTCAGAGCCTAATTGGCACTGGCAAATGGTAGTGCACTATATATATATAGGTATTGGATACCATTTCAGACATAAGCAAGGACATCCGCTATTAGAAATAACACTGAATTCCTGTCAAGAGAAAGATATCCCTCCCACCTTCCCACCTGCTACTGTATGACCCAATGACTCCCCATCCTCCAGTCTAATATAAAAACTGTGTTCTCCTGGCTCGACTCGCGCTGTCTTGCAGCCAAGCAGCTTCATCTCCATATTGTGGCTCTTAGCTCAACTTGTCCTGTCTTACAGCTCAGCATTTTAATATACATACTGTGGCTCCTGGCTCGACTCATGCTGCCTGTCTTGCAGCTCAGCAGAAGATCCTGCCTGTGTCCCAAATGGCACCCTATTTCATAGTGCACTACTTTTCATAGCCCTATGGGCCCTGGTCAAAAGTAGTGTACTATATAGGGAATAGGATGCCATTTGGGATGTAGACCCTCTCCTCAGCCAGGCAGGTTCTCTGTAATGGTGGAAAGAAACACTTAGGCCTTCTAATACAGAGCAGAGAGGGCAGGAGTGGGCGGAGGGAGGAGAAGGAAAGGAAGAGATGAACCTGGGGATTACAGTCAGGGCAATCAGGGAGACTACGGCTGTGTCCCAAATGGCACCCTATTCCCTACATAGTGTGCTACTTTTGACCAGGGCCCATAGGGCTATGGTTAAAGTAGTGCACTATAAAGGGAATAGGGTACCATTTGGGATGCAGTTTAGATGGCTTCTTCTCTCTTCTTAGCTCAGAACAGACACTATTTTTGGTCAGATCTCCAAATCTACTGTGCATGTGCCAGTGTTCGCTCATCTGAGCTTCTTAATATGGAGACTCAAGTCACCATTCATCTGTATTCCAGAAGGATATTTGTGCTGTCCTGTTTTAAATCAAGATACTACAGTACAATGTGTGCTGGTTTTCCAAGGAGGAAAATCGGAGAAATGATCTCAACTTATTTCCCATTGTATTGTATCAGATTATCAGATCAGACATTCTATAGTTCAACCTAGCATTTAGATTTTGCATGAATAAACACTACCTGCTCAAACATTACCAGGTTTTAAGATTCATATGCGCTGTATCCAGAGTAGGCTCAGGTGTGTGTGTGTAGAATATTTGGTCTGCAGTACATTTACATTTTAGTCATTTAGCAGACGCTCTTATCCAGAGTTAGTGCAGAGTTACAGTTAGTGCATTCATCTTAAGGTAAAACATATATTTTTTAATGTACATGTAAAACTTAAGGTAGCTATGAGAGCCAACCGCATATCATGGTCATAATAAGCTAGTTATTTTAGGGACTCTGCTGTCCTAATGTCAGTGGGAAGACTATGTGGGGAACAGGAGGACAGTAGAGTTTCTGTCCATTTGTCAGTTTGTGCTGGTACTCTGTCTTGCTGGGGAGTCACAGTGTGTTGTGTTGAATATTCTTACCAGCACTACATGTAAACCGCATCCATAATTGATGGGGTAGGGAATTGCTTCTGCCAGAACCCAGGAAGTCCTCTCTGTCTCTGCCTTTAACTCTGCTCCCTACAGACCATACATCCTCTTTTGAAGGGCCCTAGTGCAGACCATACTGTACACCCTCTTTTGAAAGGGGAACTAAGTGTGCATCCAAAATGGCAACCTATTCCCTAAGTGGACAACTTTTTTTTAGTAGACTGAAATATTGCCTCTATGACAAGAAAGAAGGAAAATGTCTGTCCATTTATAGAGTAGAAAAGTAGTACATGCCATGTCATGTAACACATACATGGAATTCTAAATACTATTATGTAACATTTAAGAGACTGGCTGTTTTAAAGGTATGTTGGAGTTTTCTTTGCCTCCTGCTCTGTGCTTCTTTCTGCTTGAGACTCTTAATACTCTCTCCACTGGGGATAGCATCCCAATCCACTGAAATCATTGGGCTTGTGTTAGCTAGCTCGCTGGTGGGGTGTGCTTCCACTGCACTGCATGGAAAACGAGGTCAAAATGCAGATATTGGGTCGGGCTTCATTTGATGAATAACGGCAGGTTGTGCCCATGCTGGGAACCTAACACACACACACAAACACACACTGGGAACCTAGCGAAATGCAGTCTGGTGCACCCAAGAATAATTCCTACTTCCTAGTGTCAAATCAGTTATAAATCATTGTTTATGCAGCGTACATAATGTATATGACAGTGAATTCGAATCAGCATCACGCTCTAGTAAGCAGAAGGGAATCTAAATATAATGTATTATGTTTTGAAGTGAGGAAGTGTTACAGTAGATTCTACATTTCTACACAGCCTGGATATCTTCAAGACTACTCAGTAACTGATACATAACCTCTGACCTCTACCCTCTAACTCTACCTCAATATGAACCTCACAGCCAAGTCATATGAGCCAGTTATCATCGGAATGAACAAGATCTGAGTAGAGGAGGGGGAACAAAGTGACGGCCTTTTCTGGAGGACTGGATGAGTGACAAGTGTCTGATTCTCTGCTGTACTCTCTGTTCTCTTCCAGACCCTGAGGATGGCAGGGAAGGGATGTTTTTCGGTTTAGAGGTCAGGGGTTATAGGTTAAATAGCAATGTATCTGACCCTCTGTTGTCTTCTCTCTCCTCTCCCAGACCCTGCGGGCAGCAGGGAAGACCTACATGATCTTCTTTGTGCTGGTGATCTTCGTTGGATCCTTCTACCTGGTCAATCTGATCCTGGCTGTGGTGGCCATGGCCTATGAGGAGCAGAACCAGGCCACCATGGAGGAGGCCGAGCAAAAAGAGGCGGAGTTCAAAGCCATGCTGGAGCAGATCAAGAACCAGCAGGAGGCTGCACAGGTCAGTATCCCAGTGTCTCTGTGTCGCAGCATGTCTATGAGGGTTGCCAAATGGCACCCTTCTCCTGATATAGTGCATATGTGTTTGGTCATATGTGTTTGTTTCTCTGTCTCTGTTGTCACTGTCTCTGCAGGAGGCCGCACAGGTCAGTGTCTGTCTGTTCTGTTCTGTCTGTTCTGTTCTGTTCTGTCTGTCTGTCTGTCTGTCTGTCTGTCTGTCTGTCTGTCTGTCTGTCTGTCTGTCTGTCTGTCTGACTGTCTGTCTGTTCTGTCTGGTCTGTCTGTCTGTCGGTTCTGTCTGACTGTCTGTCTGTTCTGTCTGTCTGTCGGTTCTGTCTGTCTCTCAGCAGCTTTCTGTGTATACTGTATGTGCTTGTCTTTCTATTGCCACTGTCTCTGCTTACTATACTTCACTCCTATCCTTGACTGTCTCTTTGGTTTAAATCTGTTGTGCCTAATATAAGCAGTGGAGCCGTGTTCGTTACAGTGCTCCTATACCTCACTGTGTTTGTGACGGAGGTGAGTAACCTTGCCTGAGACCTGAAGATTTGCATGGGCTTCCTGAGCCAATGCCTAGGCTTTGGCTTAGCGGGCTAATGCACTCTTCTGGCTCACAGCAAACCGGGGTTCGAACCCTGTCTGTCACATATGCTTAGTTTCAATCTGTTTAGCCTGATATAAGCTGTACAGCCATATCTCTGACGCCTAGCTACGCAAAATGGCCATTTTGCATACTTGCTTGGCAAAAATAGGCATACTTGCACAGCCCCAAGTAAGTCAAGTGCAGCTGCAGCCCCGCAATTTGTATCTTGATGAAACTACGCAGGATCGCCATTTTGAGTAGCTAGCTAAATGCATTGCGTGTTTGCATAGGGTATAAATTAGGCTTCAGGAGGGCTGGACACAGACAGGTGTTTTTCTCACTCTCTCTGTCCCGGTGCGGCGGTCTGCGATAGGCCAATGCCATGGCGACGTCGGCAGGCACGGTGTCGGAGGACGTAGCGGAGGACGACGGTGGGGGGAACCTGTCCTGTAGCTCGTCAGAGATGTCCAAGCTCAGCTCCAAGAGCGCCAAGGAGCGGCGCAACCGCAAGAAGAAGTGGCGCCAGAAAGAGCAGTTACAGAGGGAAGAGAAGGGGGACTGCGAGAAGTTCGTCAAATCTGAGTCAGACGACGGCAGCAAGAGGAGCCGCTTCCGTTTCCCTGACAACCGGTTGGGTCGAAAGTCTTCCATCATGAACCAGGTGAGATGACGAAGGTTGAAGGTCACGGTGTAATGCATTCTGGGGCATAGATCATTTAGCCTTGAGCAATAAACTCAGATAAACACTATTTATAGCTTTGTAATGTATCTGTTTAAGGCTCCTACTACAGTGTGTAAAGTATATTGGTTGTAGCTAAAAGTTAGAACCAGTTTATAACATCATAACATATACAGTGCTGTGCGTATATTTGTTGTATCTAAATATACAGTAGCATGCATCATAACCTGCTGTTGTAGCTAAAGATATAGTAGCATGCATCCGAGGCTTGAATTATTAACAGTGAGTACATGAATGTTTCAGTGATAGAAGAGCAGTCACACAGTGTGGTTTTGCTCTGGCATCTTTCATAGTGTACTGTTACTGTATCTGTTCAACAACACAGGGCAGTACTCCTATGATGATAACTGTTATTTAAACACAAAGCGATGCAGTCATGTGAATTCTATTGGTGTTAGAACAAGGTTTTGTCTGAGTTCATCATCATCATCTACAGTATTAGAGAATTGGCCCTCTAACCAGATGAGTACTCACAGGCTTGTGACCATAAACGTGTCAAATCAGCAGAGCGAACATGTTTATAACAGTAGTAAGAAAGAGGATTCTATATGCAACATTAGTAAGAGGATCGTAGTAGTAAGAGGATCGATACAGTACAGGTCCAGATTCACAGTGAGAACAGTAGGATGCCTACAGCTCATATTTCCATAGAATAACTAGAATGGAGAATCCCATTCAAATCAATGTTCTGACAATGCGTGGACTGGCGGCAATATTGAGTGTACCCATAGAAGAAAAACACAAAGTAGAAGCAGGAAGTGCATATTTTCCCATGCAGTGTTGGGCTCAGCTGTGTGTTTCTCCTGTCTGACTGTCCTGTGTTTGACCTTGCTGGGGTAGGATGTCAGTCGCCTAATTATTTGATTATATGACACGGTGAGCCATCAAGTCCTGCTCACCAGACCTGAGGGTCTGGGTGTGAGGGCACCGCACTCTACTGGCTACAATCATACCTCACCAACCGGACCCACTAAAAACAACACCCTCATCTCTTTTCTTCTCTCAAGGAGATTGGAATTCCCATAGTGATCCTATAATTCTATATGTAATTCTATGGGAATTCCAGCCTCCTTTCATATTTTTGAAGCTAAATGTAGAACAGGGCTCTCCAACCCTGTTCCTGGACAACTACCCTCCTGTAGGTTTTCACTCCAACCCCAGTTGTAACTAACCTGATTCAGCATGTCAACCAGCAAATTATTAGAATCAGGTGCACTGGATTAGGGTTGGAGCGAAAACCTACAGGACGGTAGCTCATCCAGGAACATGGCTGGAGATCCCTGATGTAGACAGGACTAAAACAGATAAAGAGAAATGGCAGGAGGACAGATGGTAGGAAAGGTGGTTGTGGGGATTCAACCCACGACCTTCAGTGCTCTTTTGTATGCTTTGTGTCAGGAGTTTTACACAGCTACATCAATCTCTCTCCTCTCCTCTCCTCTCCTCTCCTCTGTCTTTTACCCTCCTCTCCTCTCGTTTCCTCCTCTCCTCTCCTCATCTCCTTGTCTTCTTGTCCCTTGCAGTCCCTCCTCAGTATCCCAGGCTCGCCGTTCCTGTCGAGGCACAACAGCAAGAGCAGCATCTTCAGCTTCAAGGGGCGCGGCAAGGATGTGGGCTCGGAGAACGAGTTTGCTGATGACGAGCATAGCACTGTGGAGGAGTGCGAGGAGAGGCGGGACTCCCTGTTCAGCCCGTACCGGCGGAGCAGCTACACGGGCTACCACCACGGCGGCGGGAAGAGGAACTCAACGGTGGACTGCAACGGCGTGGTGTCTCTGATCAGTCCGGGGACCGGCGGACGCCTTCTGCCTGAGGTGAAAATAGATAAGGCATCTGCTGACGACAGTGTAAGGAAGTCAATGAGTAACTCAGACCCGTCTCGTCTAGGCATGGCCCCCTCTTTCTCTCTCTTACTCTCTCTTTCCCAACTTTCTCTCTTCCCTCACTTTCTTATTCTCTCTGTCTCTCTTCTCAACTTTTTTCTTTGCAAGTCCGTATGTCTGCGCTATCTGCGCTCTCCCTCCTCCCCTGCTCCTAGTGTCTAGTGTATGCTATGCTGCCCCCCCAACCCAAAGAAGCAAAATAGAGAAACTTTAGTTTACTTTATCAGAAAAAAAGGTTCTTATTGTTACTTTATAACTGGGGTTTTCAGTGACTTCCAGCATACTGTTGTTTTATATCTCAACGTTTTAATTTTCTCACTCCAAATGGTGTTACATTACATTGACATTAAAGGGATAGTTAGAGATTTTGGCAACTAGGCCCTTGCTCCTGTAGACTTCCAGTCATTGCACTAACACTAGTTAGCGATGGCTCCAGAAATGACCTTCAACTTCCTTCAAACTGCACACAGAGACATAATGGTATCCATGAGTTCATCTGACTCTGGGGAAGTAGAAAAAAGGGCTTAATTGCCAAAATCTCGAACACTCCCTTTAACATTTTAGTCATTTAGCAAACTCTTATCTTAGAGCGACGTCAGTGCATTCAACTAAGATGGGTATAAACAACCACATATAACAGTCATCATAAGTAAAAACCCTCTTCAAAATAGCGGAACTATTTCCTTCCTTTTCAAACAATCAACAGTGAAGAAACCAAACCAAACAAAACGAAAAAACCAAACCAATCTTTCTCTCTTGCTAGTAAGCAGCATGGTAGTTTGACCTGCCCTTCTACCAGGTCTTGTACAATGTTTCTGAATTAGCCAGCATGATAACAACCAAACTAGTGGCTATGATGTCTATCCACTCCTACTCTTTGACTTGGTGCATGCTCAATGCATGACGACTGGAACGACCGCAATCCGAATAGTGTTGCCCCTGTGTTCTCCTAGTGTTCTCCTACAGTAACCAGACTACTCTTCCCTCCATGTTCTCCTCAAATGCTACAGGATTTGTTACAGGACTTGAAGGTGATATTTCAGGGTCAAATAGAAAATGGATTACTATCAGATAGTATGGAGTTCTGAGTTTGGATGGGGTTAGGGACAGGATAATGGTTGGAAAGTGGAAAAAAGGCTGTGTCCGAAATCTGTCTTGCCTACTACTTAATAAAACGACATACTATGTGCTAATGTACTATTCATAGCACATACCATTTAGAACGTACTATTTAGTATACATGTATGCAGTAAGCAACAAATATCAACATACTAGGCTCACCCATACTGAGAAGGCGTCATCTTAATGCGCAATTGCGTTGTTTCCTGCCATTCCTTCATTTTGGTATAGCGCGACCTCTTATCTGATTATCAGCTGTTGTCAAACACACGTGGGTCTGAAAACACGCTTTTCTTCCTCAATAGTCGAAATGAGTATGACATCCTGGCATTTAAACCATACAACATTTTCAAAATGTCACATACTATAAAACGTTATATTTTCGCATACCCAATCAGCCTACTATTGAGAACGCAAGTACGGGTATTCGGACACGGCCAAAGTGGCAGCATTGGAACATTTAGGCAGGGGGACATTTAGTTAGAATGGATGTGATGTAATGATGGTTGGAACCTATTTTACAAGTTCAGAGAATAGGTAAGTCACACCGTGAATACATACACACACAAATACAAAACACTTCCCTGCTCAATATCAGAATATTAAACTCTTATTCAAGTATTTTGTAATGACGATAAGGTCACAATAGACAAATATCCCTATACCACTGCTCCCACTCTGGCTGCATATGACCTGCATGTTTCTACACACAACATATTCTCAACATCTATCGACAATAAGACAAATACAGTACTACCCACTGTGCCAACCAAAGAATTACCAACCTCCAATCTAGGCCTACCCCTCCTTCCAATTCAATCTTGTTACAAGTGCGCTTCCCTCCCTGGCCAGCGATGGCGCTGTGGGATGGTGTTCATGGTTTGACTACCATCAGTGCTTGATTCTTCTTCTTCCTCCTGGCAGCCCACTACTGAGGTTGAGGTGAAGAAGAAGCTGTCTGGTTCCCTGATGGTGTCTGTGGACCAGCTCAATACCTCCTTCGGAAGGAAAGAGCGGGCCAACAGTGTCATGAGCGTCATCACCAACACACTAGTGGAGGGTACTGCCCCTATACTATTACATTTTACATTTTAGTCATTTAGCAGACGCTCTTATCCAGAGCGACTTACAGTTAGTGAGTGCATACATTTTCATACTATTCATTTCCCTACACTAACTAACTAGCTATTTCCATGCTTTAATGTTTTCAGCTGAGAGTGTAAACCAAAAAGTTAGTGTAGGGAAATAAATAGGCAGATCTTACTCAGGCTCTTACCTTAGAGGCCTTTTTTTGGTAGGAACAGTTATTTCTATTTCGCTATTTCCTTATCTAACTGTTTTAAGATAAGATATTTACGTTAAGACTTTATTGATAGACTTTATTGATCCCCAAATGGGATTCAACTGAGGTGCCCTTCTCTCTTATTGGACGAACAGTTATACATCTCCTATATCTATATCTATAGCTTGTCATTCTTGTACTGACAGATACTGCATAACAGACATATTATTATTATGTATTACATAAACAGAACATATTATTATTTTATAACATGTATCAAAAGCAGACCTGGGGTCAATAACTCTCAGTTTGCTTTCAAATACTTTGAGTGTTTCCTTTAGTTTCCTTTTAGAGTGCCAGGTGGGCGTGGACAGGATTTGCACTGTTGGGGACTATTCTATTATTTGGATTTTTGATATATTCCTTTCCTTGCGGGTCTCTTAATCAATTTTCTCAGAACTGGAGGAGTCTCAGCGTAGTTGTCCACCTTGCTGGTATAAGTTCTCCAACATCTTCCTCATCTGGGAGTGTTGTCCCATCTGGCTGAAGATCAAAGAGATCGTCAACCTGATCGTCATGGACCCATTCGTGGACCTGGCCATCACCATCTGTATCGTCCTCAACACCCTCTTCATGGCAATGGAGCACTACCCCATGACCCCGCACTTTGAGGAGGTGCTGTACGTGGGAAACCTGGTGAGGATCTCTTTTTTGTGTGGTATTTTACAGGCGTTTTAAGCTGGTACTTAAAGGGGCACTTCATCACTTTCTAACCTCATATTCACATGTAGACACTGGTATGGCGCTGGAGATAATGAATATGAGGTTAAAACATGGTGAAGTGCCCCTTTAGAAAGTAAGCTGGTACTTTAAGCTAGTACTTACCTACACTACCGGTCAAACGTTTTATAACACCTACTCATTCAAGGGTCTTTATTTCTACTATTTTCTACATTGTAGAATAATAGTGAAGACATCAAAACTATGAAATAACACATATGGAATCATGTAGTAACGAAATAAGTGTTAAACAAATCAAAATATATTTTAGATTTGAGATTCTTCAAATAGCCACCCTTTGCCTTGATGACAGGTTTGTACACTCTTGGTATTCGCTCAACCAGCTTCATGAGGTAGTCACCTGGAATGCATTTCAATTAACAGGTGTGCCTTCTTAAAAGTTAATTTGTGGAATTTATTTTCTTCTTAATGCGTTTGAGCCAATCAGTTGTGTTGTGACAAGGTAGGGGGGGTATACAGAAGATAGCCCTATTTGATAAAAGACCAAGTCCATATTATGGAAAGAACAGCTCAAATAAGCAAAGAGAAACGACAGTCCATCATTACTTTAAGACATGAAGGTCAGTCAATACGGAACATTTCAAGAATTTTGAAAGTTTCTTCAAGTGCAGTCGCAAAAACCATCAAGCGCTATGATGAAACTGGCTCTCATGAGGACCGCCACAGGAATGGAAGACCCAGAGTTACCTCTGCTGCAGAGGATAAGTTACCAGCCTCAGAAATTGCAGGCCAAATAAATACTTCACAGAGTTCAACTAACAGACACATCTCAACATCAACTGTTCAGAGGGGACTGTGTGAATCAGGCCTTTATGGTCGAATTGCTGCAAAGAAACCACTACTACTAAAGGACACCAATAAGAAGAAGGGACTTGTTTGGGCCAAGAAACACGAGCAAATGGACATTAGACCGGTGGAAATGTGTCCTTTGGTCTGATGAGTCCAAATTTGAGATTTTTGGTTCCAACCGCTGTGTCTTTGTGAGACGCGGTGTGGGTGAACGGATGATCTCCGCATGTGTATTTCCCACCGTAAAGCATGGAGGAGGAGGTGTTATGGTGTGGGGGTGCTTTGCTGGTGACACTATCTTAACCAGCATGTCTACCACAACATTCCAGCGATACACCATCCCATCTGGTTTGGGCTTAGTGGGACTATCATTTGTTTTTCAACAAGACAATGACCCAACACACCTCCAGGCTGTGTAAGGGCTATTTTACCAAGAAGGAGAGCGATGGAGTGCTGCATCAGATGACCTGGCCTCCACAATCCCCCGACATCAACCAAATTGAGATGTTTGGGATGAGTCGGACAGCAGAGTGAAGGAAAAGCAGCCAGCAAGTGCTCAGCATATGTGGGAACTCCTTCAAGACTGATGGAAAAGCATTCCAGGTGACGCTGGTTGAGAGAATGCCAAGAGTGTGCAAAGATGTCATCAAAGCAAAGGGTGGCTATTTGAAGAATCTGAAATATAAAATATATTTTGATTTTTTAACACTTTTGGTTACTACATGATTCCATATGTGTTATTTCATAGTTTTGATGTCTTCACTATTCTACAATGTAGAAAATAATAAAAATATAGAAAAACCCTTGAATGAGTAGGTGTTATAAAACTTTTGACCGGTAGTGTAGTATTTGCATGGTATTAACTTAGAAAGTATATGGTAACATTAGACACTTTCTAGTATTTAGTTCAAATAATTCAACCCACTTGATAGGACAGTCAGTAGAGGGGACAGGAAAGACAGGAGAAGTGTGTGTCAAACAGGCAGTGGGACAGATTCATATGTGTGCACCAGGGGCGGCGACACTAACTCCGAGCTAGACCACAGTGTGACCACCCCAGGCCTCTCTCTTTCAACTCTCTATCTTGTTTCCGTTGTATTTCCCATCATAGCTCCATTGATAGTGTGTTCATAAAAAAAAAGAATAGAATCTGACATTTGATCGTTATCTCGTCCTTGTGGTTGTGCGTTGACAATGACGTCTCCTCTTATAACATCTTGTCCCCTGTCGTCTGCTGAGAGAGCTGTGTTATTTTGGTACACATAATTGGCAGTTCTTTCATTGGCTAGTCAAAGCTAAATCATTTACATTTACATTTACGTCATTTAGCAGACGCTCTTATCCAGAGCGACTTACAGGAGCAATTAGGGTTAAGTGCCTTGCTCAAGGGCACATCGACAGATTTTTCACCTAGTCGGCTCGGGGATTAGAACCAGCAACCTTTCAGTTACTGGCACAACGCTCTTAACCACTAAGCTACCTTAGTTTCCCTGTATCTATACACGTCTTCCTTGTGTCTTTCCATGGTACATGTACCACCGTCCCTTCTCTTCCTCTATCTTCTCTCGCTTTCCTCCTCTCCGCTCTGCTCCTCTCCTTTCTCCCTCTCTTTCCCCCCCCCCTCTCTCTCCCCATTTCTTACATGGGGCTGGCCTGTATACTGTAGGAGTGTCTGTCTCTCTCTCTCTCTCTCTCTCTCTCTCTCTCTCTCTCTCTCTCTCTCTCTCTCTCTCTCCTTTCTCTCAACCCCCCCTCCCCCCTCCTCTCCTATCATATGATTCTTCTGTGCTGCTGTTTCCTTGTCCCAGGCAGCACTCTGCTTCACGCTGCCTGCTCTGTCTCTGTGCTGCCTGCCAGGCTGGTGGGAGGCCTACATTCATATTTGATGCTGCTTGATCGATGAGCTCCTCTAAAATGGTGCCTGAAGACTGGCTCTTTCTTTCTGAAATCCCAACCTGTTTTTTTTCTTCACATTAGCATTTCTGAGTCAAATTCCTGAGCTGCACATAGGATTTCAGCATATTGCTTAGGGCCTTAAGCCTACTAGCTAATGCAAGCTAAAGCTAAAGCAACTAGCTAATGCTGTTATCATGGATACCATTACAATTTCGACAGAAACACCATCAAAGTAGAGCTGATGCACATTAGGATTTCACTGTCTAGTTAGCATGTTAGCTAAAGCTACTAGTTAATGTTGTTAGCATGGATAGCTTATCAGTAGAACACAGTCTCTCTTTCTGTGGTATGGTTAGGATATTGATATTGATAGCAGCGGTTTGATCAATTTACAGCAGCTGAAAAATGTATCACTTTCAGTAAATTGTGAGATCAGTCTTTTACATATTAGACCAGTGTGTATTTGTTGTGAAATAGAAACATTTAAAATTTTAAAAAGATCATTTTCAAACACACAAACGCACACTCACACACACACACACACACACACACACACACACACACACACACACACACACACACACACACACACACAGTGCTAGCCTCTTGCTAGTGGGCTACCTTAATTTCCATTTAAGGTAGTGCTCACTGCTCACTTTTTTAAGGAATTATAGTACGAGTTCCTACAGTACGTCTGACCTCTGTTTGTCGCTTTGAAAGGTAAATGTTTCAGTAGCAGTTACTCTAACTGACCTCTGACCTCTATCCGTCCCTGCCAGGTGTTCACAGGGATCTTTGCTGTGGAGATGTTTGCCAAGCTGGTTGCCATGGATCCCTACTACTACTTCCAGGAAGGGTGGAACTGCTTCGACGGCTTCATTGTGACCCTGTCGTTAGTGGAGCTGGCATTGGCTGACGTGGAGGGGCTGTCTGTGCTCAGATCATTCCGATTGGTAAACTGTCTTTTAGCCCCGCCCTCCTCCAAAATATACGTCTGTCAGTTGTGTACACAAATCATATCAATTCCACAGTGTGCATTGATTCACACACTGATTGATTACATGGTGTTGCTCAACTACAGCACTGTCTGTTGCAGTGATACATTTACTTGTGTGCAATACAACTTACTATATATACTGCCTTACTAGTCTATGTACTGCTAGTTTTCATAACTACTGCTACTTCTACCTCTCTATCAATTACCATACCAATACCCCAAGAGCCATTGCTGCAACCAGAACTGATCACTCAACCCCCTGCTGATAATGAATATTTTCATCTCTCCCTTCTTCTGTCATTCTCACATCCTCTCTTCCTCCCTCCCTCTCTTTCTTCCCCCCTCCCCTCTCCATCACTCTCTTCCATGCCCCTCTCTCAGCTAAGGGTGTTTAAACTGGCCAAGTCGTGGCCCACACTCAACATGCTGATCAAGATCATCGGGAACTCTGTGGGCGCCCTGGGAAACCTGACCCTCGTCTTAGCGCTCATCGTCTTCATCTTTGCCGTGGTCGGTATGCAGCTGTTCGGCAAGAACTACAAGGACTGTGTGTGTAAGATCGCCCTGGACTGTAAGCTGCCCCGCTGGCACATGCACGACTTCTTCCACTCGTTCTTGATGGTGTTCCGGGTGCTGTGCGGGGAGTGGATTGAGACCATGTGGGACTGCATGGAGGTGGCCGGACAGGGCATGTGTCTCATCGTCTTCATGATGGTCATGGTCATCGGGAACTTGGTGGTAAGTGTCCCCAGAGTGTGTCTTTGTAACAATGCTACCCTGATGGTTCTCAAACCGCGGTCGCCATAACCGAGGGTAGTGACCGTAATCACTGGCCCAAGAAACGTAACTCTCTGGGAGCAGTTTGCTGTCTTATGAACACCAGATTCGTTATACTACACATACCAGGTCCCATGTGTACACACATCTCCGTTGGCCATACCAGATCCACCCTCACGTCTGACCCAGTGTGTGTCTCCTCTCCTCCCTATAGGTGTTAAACCTTTTCCTTGCCTTGCTGCTGTCCTCGTTCAGCGCAGACAACTTAGCCGCAACAGACGACGACGGAGAGATGAACAACCTTCAGATCTCTGTCATCCGCATCAAGAAGGGCATCGCCTGGTTCAAGATCAAGCTGGCAGAGTTGGTGCTCAGCTTGACCAAGAAGCCACCGGTGGAGGATGAACAGAAACCTTTAGACGACATGTACAACAAGAAACTGAACTGTATCGCCAACCACAGTGGTGTGGATATCAACCGCGACCTGGACTACACCAAGAATGGTAACGGCACCACTAGTGGTATAGGGAGCAGCGTCGGGAAGTACATGATCGACGAGGACCACATGTCCTTCATCCACAACCCTAACCTGACCGTGTGCGTTCCCATCGCGGTCGGAGAGTCCGACTTCGAGAACCTCAACACCGAGGACTTCAGTAGCGAGTCGGAGAATGAGAACAGCAAAGAGGTGAGTGAACAGAGAGTTAGTTAGCCAAATGTTTAATGAATATGTTGTCATGAGAACCTGGTACGTAAATATGGCTCTGATGAAAGGTAGTACACGATAAAGAATAGGGTGCCATTTTAGATGCACCCAGAGTTTATCTCTTGATAATGATGTCATTGTAATGTTGCAGGAGGTAATTTTGGGATTATGTTGTAGTAATGTTGTGGTATTTTTGCAGGGGGTAAGTAATGTTGTGGTTATGTTGTAGTAATGTTGCAGCAATGTAGTAATGTTGCATGGGGGTAATGTTGTAGTCACCAATGTTGTGGTTATGTTGTAATAATGTTTTGGTAATGTTATATTAATGTTGTATTAATGTTGTGGTAATGTTGTATTAATGTTGTGGTAATGTTGTAGTAATGTTGTAGTAATGCATTACTCCATGGTTGTTGTTGTGGTCTCCTGGCTGTAAAGCATGGGTGTGGTCACCAGTGTAACATTAGTTTCCATTCTCCAAGGCTCTTATGTAACTCCATTACTCAATAGTATACACACACTAATATAGGAATGGCTACAGCCGTGGATGAAATGGATATCTGCTGACTGGTTTTAGTTTTTTTCTTAAAACGTTGCAAATACATTTAGGAGTATGGCTAGAGTGGATGGTTATTTGATATTCCATCTTTGTAGGCTAAAGTACATCTTAAATCTGTGGCATGTCATATTTTTAGGAATTGCAGTTTGCTGCTGTTGTTTTGATATTTACAGTTAAGTCTTATCATTTGCTTATTATTACGGTAGTTTAGCATTTAAGTCAACTTTAATCACTTATTGGAGGCTCTCATTTAAAATCTAGCCCTCTAATTTAATGTAAAGTCAAGGTGAGTTACAACCATGTCATTGGTTCCCTATTAATCATGTTATGTGTTTCCTCAAGGTCATATGCATAGGCTGCATTTAGAACTGATGACAGATCACACGCTTATCATGTAGACATGGGTAGACACATCTCATTTTGTGTATGACCAGAATGTATCTTAGTCCCAGGAGTATTTCTTCTTCTTCTTCTTCTTCTTCTTCTTCTTCTTCTTCTTCTTCTTCTTCTTCTTCTTCTTCTTCTTCTTCTTCTTCTTCTTCTTCTTCTTCTTCTTCTTCTTCTTCTTCTTCTTCTGTCTGTCTACCTATATGAAGCCTCGGGGAGGTAGCTATTTATACAGTAAGACATCTAACCTCAGTGAGACCCACTGCAATGCATGCAGCAGTATGTATAAATGGCTGTGAGAGAGTCTTAGCCATCGGTCATGTCTCTCTCTCTTGTCTGTCTCTCTCTGTGTACCAATACCCCAAGAGCCATTGCTGCAGACAGGGCTTTTGATCAGTCAACCTGCTGCTGATGATGTGTTTCCTCTGTCCCTTGTCCTGTCGTTCTCACGTTCTCTCTGTGTGTTCCTCTCTGTCTCTCCCTCTCTCTCTCTCTCTCTATCTCTGCGTCTGTCTGTATCTCTGTGCATGTGTGTGTGTATGTATCTCTCTCTCTCGCTCTGTCTGTGTGTGTAGCTGGACGACACCAGCTCATCGGAGGGCAGCACCATAGACATCAAGCCTGACGTGGAGGTGGAGGCTGTGGTGGTGGAGGCTGTGGAAGAGTACCTAGACCCAGAAAACTGTTGGACACCTGGTAGGAGTGCACCTTGCTCTTCCCTGCCCGGCCCCGCCCATCCGTGCCCTGCCCCAACCCTCCCCGCCCCCCTGCTCTGAACCACTCCTTGCCCTCCCTGCCCTGAACCACTCCTTGCCCTCCCTGCCCTAAACCACGCCCTGAGACTCCCTTGCCCTCCATGCCCCTCCCAGCCCCTCCCTGCCCTGCTCCTCCCAGTTTGTAATTTGTACATTTTTTTCACATTTTTAGTAATGGTGTAATGTTGTGTGTGTGTGTGCCTGTCCCCTTCCATACAGAGTGTATTATCAAGTATCCATGCTGCGACGTGCCTATCACTCACGGGTGGGGAAAATATTGGTGGTTCCTGAGAAAGACATGCTATCTAATTGTGGAGCATAACTGGTTCGAAACCGTCATTATCTTTATGATCCTACTCAGTAGTGGGGCCCTGGTAAGTCACAGTGTGGAGCGTTAACACACACACACAAATGCATGTACACTCACACACACAGCGAGACAGAGAGGCTTTGGTCAATAGTTGTGCAGTAGAGAATAAGGCAGGGTGCCATTTCAGACGCAGAGAGGAGGTAGAGTGTGAGTGGAGAAGGTTGGCTATTTAAGGGCTGTGTTTCTCTCTGCCTGGCTATGAGGACATAGGACAAAACATGGAGTGGTGCAGTCAGCAGGCCCAGTCACTGAAGAGGGTGGGGGGAGGGGCCAGGCAGGAGCATCTCAGCCAGTCACTGTACTAAGGAGGTGTGGGGGGGGGGGGGGGGGGGGGCAGGAGCATCAGAGCAGAGCAGAGCCGGACTGAGGCTGTGTCCCAAATGGCAGTCTATTCCCTTTATAGTGCACTACTTTTGACCAAAAGTAGTGTACTACATAGGGAATAGGCTGCCATTTGAGCCAGGCAGCCATTTGAGACACACATGGACTCTCTCTGTGATTAATGGACTGTACCATTTATCTGAGAGGGGATCTAATGGACTGTGTGATTTATCAGATAGGATAGGGGGGGAATCTATTTCTGGTGCCAAGGGAGCTATGTCCTCAGGCATGACGTCAAATCAGCAGGGAGGGAATAGTGCAATCAATGATACATTTATACTGGAGATATTTTTGTATAATAAATCCTGTTAGTTTTTAGTCATGATTGAGCAACAGAACCGTTGTTGTATACATTTTCATCACTTTTAATGTAAATAGTCTGTTGACTTTATTGTGTTTCTAATCATCCATGATTTTTGAGGTATTCATTGTTGTACTTATATGGCTGAGGCAAATTATAGGCTATGTATTTTAAATTTGTCAAATAAAATCACAGAGCATGTTCATTTCCCCCCAATTCAGCTGAAGCGAACCGTGTATGTGCTCCCCCCCCCCCCCCCCCCCCCCCCCCCCCAGGCTTTTGAGGATGTGTACATCCAGCAGAGGAAGACCATCAGGACCATCTTGGAATACGCCGACAGTGTGTTCACATACATCTTTATCCTAGAGATGTTGCTCAAATGGGTTGCCTACGGATTCCACAAGTACTTCACCAACGCCTGGTGCTGGCTCGACTTCTTCATTGTCGATGTAAGTAACATTTCCTGATTCTTTACGGTAGATTTGGTAGCCATTTTGTAAAGGCAGGATAGGAAGCTAGGACCATAGAAATAGAATTGACTTGAAGGGGGTGGCCCATTCTAGGAAGTCTATTTCTATGGCAACCACACCCTGTTGAAGCAATGTGCTGTACTGTTAAAGTAGCTGTCCAGTGTTTCCAGATTTCTATGAAATATTATCAATAATTAATTACAATATGAGTGAAATAGTTTTCAAAAAATTGTAATTAAGTATGTTAAAAAGCAGCTTTTCTGTGTTTGAATGGTGTGGCCGTACCCCAACAACAGAATGGTGTGGACGTATACAGGTCAATAAATGTTTGTATGACAAGTAAACAGCTGATTGGCCAGTTCAGCCAATGAGACATCTCGGACAAAAACATTACATCATACTGTGAGGAAATAAAAAACAACATGTAAACGGTCAAGTTAGAGTTTTTTTTAAAGCGTTTTTTCTCTAATTTATGCTTTGGCCACAAATATGAGTATAGGATGAGTCAACAACATGATTTGAGTATGAGTTAACAGATTGTGTTTTTAAAAGTGAGATTTTCACTGGACAGTTACTTGGAAGTTATCGCTTATAGAGGTATTCGGTACAGTGATTCCTAACATAGGCTACAGTCTGACAGGGTGTGGTAGGGTTGGGAGGGGAGGATGGATAGAGTAGAAAACGAACAGCAACTTCATGTTACGCAATGGGTGAAAAGACATGATGATATTCACATTAACAGAAAGTGTAGGATACATCAATCCTACAGTAGCCAATATCCAAATCCCAAGAGAACATGGAAATGTTTACTGTACCATGAGCTAGTCCATCAATTTTAAGTGAATCTATGTCTCTCACCACTTGCATTTCCATGAAGCAATTTCTCTCTCTCTCTCTCTGTTTACTTGGTTTCTTGTCAATATGAGATGCTTGAATATGAACGGCAATTCTCTGTTTGTGAGTTTGGATATTATGTGCCTTCATGTGCGATGAAGCAAGGAATTGTGCACTCTCTGTTTCCCATCATGTGCAAATAGAAACCAATTCTATTGTTTTATGACATATCAGCGGTAAGACAAATGATTCAAATTTGATGATATTGGAATGTGAATGCTGGTAGCTAAGCAGCAGCACAAATTGGAATCAATCAGCCAATCAATAACCAAGATTATTGATCTACATATTCAAGCAATGCTCAGCAACAACAGGGTATGCGTCTTCTACTGTCTTCTACTATCTTCTACTGTCTCTACTTTGTCTCCACTGTGTCCTCTGCTGTGTCTCTGACCTGTCTACATTGTAATCTACTGTATGTCTACTGTACTGGATGTCTTTTCTATCTCTCAGTGTTATTGGTCATTCTCTGCTCCTTCTGTGAAACAACTCTGAAAGTCTTTGGAACAGTGGAATTTCTTTAATTCCATTCTTTAATTCTAAATTGATTAATTCATTCTAAATTAATCCAGGATCATTGAATTGATTAGTTATGGGAATGATAATTCACGGTTAGTTGCTTTAACAGTAATATATATATATATATATATATATATATATATATATATATATATATATATATAAAAACAGGCTGAGAAATTCCTTCAGACTTGAAAGTTGACACCTCAGCAAGGGGCATTGTGTAATGTCATGTTGCCTAGATATGATCCAATCCCCTGACTGAACTGTATCTGTGGTGTGGAAATCCTGCTTCGATGGTCAGATTTGGCCAATGACCTTGGTTATTACCTTGTCATTGGAAAGATGAAGAAGCTCTCTTCTGTGTGTTTTGACTTCTTACCTCTCTCCTTGAACTAACCACCTCTCAACAGTCTCCAACACACCGTCTGTATGGTCCAGTCCAAGCCATCTCTGTCTGACAGGAGTTCTATCTAACCCCTAATGGCTGGAGGTTAGATATGATCAGTGGAGGCTGGTGAGGGGAGGACAGCTCATAGTAATAGCTGGAATGGAATGGAATGGTATCAAACACATTGATGGAATACGTGTTTGATGTGTTTGATACCAATTCCATTCCATTCCAGCCATTACTATGAGCCCGTCCTCCAATTGAAAGTGCCACCAGCCGCCACTGGAGATGATACAGTATGAGAATGTGACTGTTAACCCCATAGAGATCCTGTGATTCTATATGTAATTCCATGGTTGACCCATCTATTCTTAAACACTGAACAAACACTGCTGAGACACACCAAAAAGACAAATGGCGAAAAGCAGCGGGTGGCCGTTCTCTGTTGGCGAACACCTGCTGGGTGTCAACGAACAGTGGTGATACAATATGTAGACTCAAAATGAACAGAAAATGACTGCCGCCCGCTGTTTTTAGCCGTTGGTAGTCATGGTGTGTTTTGGCCTTTACAGTCACAGTATGCTTGTATTGATTGGCATCAGCCATTGTCAGAGTTAAAGGCATGCTACACTGATCTCATTTTAGTAGAGCTGCTTCCTTTTCATGCCTTTTAAATTGACATTGTTACACAGTAATTCCCTAAGGAATAATCATCTTGAATTAATTAGTATTTTTGCTAACTGTTTTTAGTCAGTGTTAATGTCAAACTTGTTCCAGATATGGTGCTGTTTTATGTACAGTAGTAACTGCGGTAGAATATAGTTAACACTAACCTAAAACATACAGTAGCTTACAATACAATAATGTAAAACACCTTACCTTCAGTGTTGATTCTGGTAGAACAAATTCTACCTAAATCTAATTGAAGTCCTATACTGTATGTACTGTATATATTTAAAGTACCACACATAGTTGTCCTCTCTATGGACTGACTGACTGCAATGTAACCCACGACCCAGAGCCATTGATATACACTACAATATAGTTCGGTGGTGAGTTTGGTGCTACGATGGGGTTCTATCGGAACACTTCACCAAACTCTGTATATTGATGGCTCTACCACGCCCCTCCCCACCCCCATCTCTACCCACAACCCTTGGCTTCAGCCCGAGCCAACAGGGTTGTGATGCACAGAGCTGCCGTGTGTTCATTGTTGCGGTGTGAACCAACCCTTGGGATGATGGTCGTACTGTACTACGGCCGTACAGTGGCCTACATTTCCCAAGATGCACTTGGGATGGTCATATGGTACGGGGGCCGACAATTCCCTCCCAAGCTGTCAATGTGTGACAACAAACTGTGACATACCCCACCACCCCCTACCCCCCCTCCCTCCCTCCCTCGACCCAACCCCCACCCCCCTCCCCATCCTCCTTAAAGTCTTACGCTTCCTCTTACCCCAGGAATGTTGTGAGTGACCTTTGACCTTGTGCTGAGGTGATGATGTAATGATGGTGGGGCCAGGCTGGCCTGGCAGCCAGTCGGTAAGTTTGGTCCTCCAGACTGGCAGACAAGCAGTCAGTCCCTCTTATAATGCTGCCGTGCCTCACTGAGTCTAGGTCGTCCTGGGTAGTCCGTCTGTTTGTGGCCTGTCTGTGACTCTACCGTCTGTCATTGTCACTGTGATGTCTGTGGTTTGGTTTTAACCATGTTGTCTCTCTGTGGGCACCATCAGAAGGGGGACACCATCATTGCTTAAGTTTAGACGAGCATGTATTACTGTGTGTGTGTCTGTTTATCTGTTCGACATACCTTTTGTGTTTTGGTATATTTCTGTTGAGTTATCTTTTCATTGGCCTCTCTGGTTCTTGATTTTTATTGTAGAAATGTGAATAGCAAATGTAATTCAGTAGAATTACTATGAGAAGACAGAATAACTTACTGGACCCATGCTTTGTTTAGCCAGACATTACTTACAATATGCCTCTTGTCTATTTGGTCCAAATGTTGAAGAATAGATTTTTATCAAATCATGTGCTTTACATTGTTGAGAAAACAGTCAGTTACAGTACACCGCTATCTTAATGACACTTTCTTAATTTAATAATGGAGATACAGTATTTCTTTGGAGACCAACATTTTTATGCAGGACTCAGTACTCTTCAATTATATAACCACAGTGCTGTAAGGTAGAATCTAAATCAAAACACATATTTCTAGTAAAGCTAGTAGCCAGTCGAGTTTGGGGATGGAGTCGTTATGTAATAGTGGAATGAGGCTGGATCCATCCATCCATCCTTTTATTTTATAAGACATTTAGACATTTTCATCATTGTTGTTTTTGTTCTGTTTGATTTTAGTTTCCGTTGTCTTTCTGTTTTTCTTTCTGTTTCTGTTCCACTGTTCCTCATTGGATCACAGCCAAGGGATGTGATTGGCCTTGCCTTGCAGAGCTCGACGCTGATTCGCTGAGGGCTGCAACACCCACACAGCAGGTCCCTTGATCTCTAAGGGGGAGGGGCACTCCAAGGGGTCAGGCTGAGGCTGAAGGTGACAAATACCCCAAATACTGTGACAGTAGAATAAAGGCAAAATCTTTATTTTATTTTGCATCTGTTTTAAAGGAGCACAATGAAAATAAGTCAGTGACTTTATTGTGTTATCCTTGATGTGCATGTTTATGTATTTTTTTAAATAATTGATTAATAAATTCAATCAATTCATCATTGCCCAGATCAAACAGCTTGCTGGGTTATTATACAGCTATACTGATTATTAACAAATGGGATGTCTTCAACTAAAATAATTGAGCTAGCTAGAATCTGAAGGAATTGTGTGTAATACGGAGTCCTGGAGACTCAGGAGCCCTTGAACCACATAACCCAGAGATGACTCATCATGAGTCATGAGTCCAGTGGTGAGTTCCATGCCGATAGCTTCATTGCTGTCAACTGGAATGACCAGCGTGCCATTGTACGTAGTATATCAGTTTTCATAGACTGTAGTACCACCAATGGCCTTAAAATCTAAATAAAGATTTTGCCTTTGTTAGAATCCCCCCTCTATCTGTGACTCTGGTCTGGTCAGCTTTGGATGTTGTGTTCTTTGAAGTGAGTTTGACCAGTATGGTCTGGTTGGCTGGTTGGAGTTGCCTTCACATGTTTTTACTGTGTTATACTGTTTTCCCTTTGTTAAGGAACTGGTGCTCTCTCGATTCCCAGTCTCACCACCTGAACAATGGCAGTGTGAGAGAGCGGGACAAACTTTTAGTGTTTGCCATTCTAAGAACTATTAGATGGACATCTGTAATGTTGAATCAATGAGATACTGTAGTGCCATTTAGTCACGTCAGGGTTGGGGTCAATTCTATTTAAATTCAGGAAGTATACTGAAATTACTAATGAGGAAAATTGCCATTGGAATTTCAGTTTACTTCCTGAATTTAGTAAAAAAGCCATTGCCACAACTAGCCTTGCTCTCCTTTCTTCACCGTAGGCCTACTGATCCTGCTCTCCTTTCTTCACCGTAGGCCTACTGATCCTGCTCTCCTTTCTTCACCGTAGGCCTACTGATCCTGCTCTCCTTTCTTCACCGTAGGCCTACTGATCCTGCTCTCCTTTCTTCACCGTAGGCCTACTGATCCTGCTCTCCTTTCTTCACCGTAGGCCTACTGATCCTGCTCTCCTTTCTTCACCGTAGGCCTACTGATCCTGCTCTCCTTTCTTCACCGTAGGCCTACTGATCCTGCTCTCCTTTCTTCACCGTAGGCCTACTGATCCTGCTCTCCTTTCTTCACCGTAGGCCTACTGATCCTGCTCTCCTTTCTTCACCGTAGGCCTACTGATCCTGCTCTCCTTTCTTCACCGTAGGCCTACTGATCCTGCTCTCCTTTCTTCACCGTAGGCCTACTGATCCTGCTCTCCTTTCTTCACCGTAGGCCTACTGATCCTGCTCTCCTTTCTTCACCGTAGGCCTACTGATCCTGCTTGCTAGACTCATGGTGCTCCGCCCCTCCTTTCTTCACCGTAGGCCTACTGATCCTGCTTGCTAGACTCATGGTGCTCCGCCCCTCCTTTCTTCACCGTAGGCCTACTGATCCTGCTTGCTAGACTCATGGTGCTCCGCCCCTCCTTTCTTCACCGTAGGCCTACTGATCCTGCTTGCTAGACTCATGGTGCTCCGCCCCTCCTTTCTTCACCGTAGGCCTACTGATCCTGCTTGCTAGACTCATGGTGCTCCGCCCCTCCTTTCTTCACCGTAGGCCTACTGATCCTGCTTGCTAGACTCATGGTGCTCCGCCCCTCCTTTCTTCACCGTAGGCCTACTGATCCTGCTTGCTAGACTCATGGTGCTCCGCCCCCCTTTCTTCACCGTAGGCCTACTGATCCTGCTTGCTAGACTCATGGTGCTCCGCCCCCCTTTCTTCACCGTAGGCCTACTGATCCTGCTTGCTAGACTCATGGTGCTCCGCCCCTCCTTTCTTCACCGTAGGCCTACTGATCCTGCTTGCTAGACTCATGGTGCTCCGCCCCCCAATTGTGTCTGAGATACAGCAGGAAGAGGCGACTGTACAGGCCTACTGGTCACAGCAGCTCCCCTTCCTCTTCTAATGACAGGCATTGCCTACTTGAGGTTATCTCATCATTCCTTAACACCCCTACCTCGCTTCTATACAGTGCATACAGTAAGTGCTGCGGCCTATTGACCACCAGCTCTGGGCTAAGCACTCACTGAGAGGTCCAATGCATTATTATCTAGCTATAGCCTATGTGCAAATTACAACCCTTCTGAGATGGAAGCAATTCATTTGTTGACTGTCGGTATGTTGCCTTTCTATGAATGATAAATGTGAAGAATGATGACTAATCAATGTTTAACGTGTCAAGCTTAGGTGAATTCTTTGTGTTGATTACAGAAAAGTTACTGCTGTAAACTTTTCTTTGTGGCTAGTATTATGCCCGGATTCTAAAATCATGTTTGCAAGGACAAATAACACCTGATCAACGCTCATGAATCTTAAAAAAATATATATATATAACAACAACAAAAAAAGAACTCTGGCCCCATGACTGAGTGACATTGTTAAGATGTAGACAGTGATGCCTAGTTGGCGGCAGCTGCGGTACTGTGTGTGAGAGTAGGGGAGCAAGGTGGAGCGATTAGCAGTATTACTTACCTCAGAAGTGCATAGCTTAGGGGTTGATTTGGTATTGGGCCATTGTGTGTGAGAGTGGGGGAGAAGCACCTGTTTCTTTGAGGTTGTGTGTTGTTACCTGTTCCTGTGTGTAACTCTACTGTATTCAGTGTCTCTCCAGTGGTCATTTAAGTGCCATCCAATGCCAAATAACTACTGTGTCTGATCTCCCCTTAACCCTCTATCTCAACCCTTTACTACTGTCAGTGTGTGGTTAACTGTATGAACTGTATGTGGCTCTCCTATTTGATTCTATTGCTGTGTGAAGATGATAAGATGATTTTGGGCAAAACAAAATGACGTACATGTACATATTTACCTGTATTCTTTCTCTTAGGTTCCGTTAGTTTGTCTGTCTTAGATTATATGGGATATTATGCCTCAGCTGAGAGCGACAGACATGGAGAGACAGTGTTAGAGGGGCCAGGGTAAGGTTCTACAAGTCTGTTGGGTTTTTATATTAACTTCTACAGGTTGTAACCTCTCTCCTTTCCTCCCTCCCTCCCATCCTCCTCCTCCTCCCCAGTCCCCTTCGTTCGCCTGTCTGTATCTGTACTGAATCAGTCGTGTGCTGTGGCAAAACATTTTGGCCTATTTTTCCCTTCCTTTGAGTCTTATGCATTTCTTTTTCTCCTTTCTCTCTCTCTCTCTCTCTCTCTCTCTCTCTCTCTCTCTCTCTCTCTCTCTCTCAACCACAAGTTTCTTTGCAGGTACAAAGGAGTTTGTCAGGTCTCGTCCAACTGCCTTAAAATAACAGAAACAAACCCCTCGTCCTGCGGCCTACATACTACTGCTACTAAAACACTATGCACATAAAACCTATACTAAACATTGACTTTCTCTCTCAATGTATATACGTATATAAATGCAATATTATACATGTATATACATACATATAGATTTATGTGTGTATGTCAAGCAACTCTCTCCGCCCATGCCAGCCCTATTGCTCCAAGGGCTCTCGTCTGAGTCTCTCTTCTACCTTTCGAGAATATTCTCACTACTTCTAACAGTTTGGAACCTCTTTTGCTTCTCTGTTTGTGTGTAGGTGTCTATAATCAGTCTGGTAGCTAATGCACTGGGCTACTCGGATCTAGGTCCTATTAAATCACTAAGGACACTAAGGGCCTTGAGACCCCTCAGAGCCTTGTCACGTTTTGAAGGGATGAGGGTAAGAGCCAAAGCTAAGCAGCTGATCCTTACGCATGCCCATTCAACAGTTTATTAAAGCATGCTAGAAACTGAAATATTATCAAAAAGTAAACAAACAATATATTTTTTGATGACCAAATTTTTGATCAAAATTTATTTATTGGGGGATTTTTTAAAATAGAAACTTGAAGAAACTAGTCAAGACAAGAAGTCACCTTTCCATGCACACACATCCTCTACCATACTTCACATACAATTTATATATAGATATAGACACACACGTCATGATGCAGCTGGAAGTGTAAAGTAATGTTAAATACTAATGCTACAAAGTTATACAGTATTACCAGCAGAAACTATTTCACTGGTTTGAATTGAATAAAAAAAATCGAAATACTAATTGATATTTTCAGTATTTTCTGCTATGTACAGACATAAAAGGAACAAAAATGAGTGAACTAGAGGGATATGTCACAAAGCTGCCTCATCACATAAAAACTAGAAAAATGAATTATTATTTTATTTTTATTTTTTATGATTGGCTTGAGGGATGAGATAAAATTAATGTTAGTCAATGCTACATGTCAACAAAGCCAAACTACATAGCATTTCATAGAACATTTGAATCAACAATTGGCTGTTCATTTGGCCTGATTCTCAATCTCTGCTTTTAATCGAGAAGCCCCCCTCCCCCCTACCACCACCTGTCCCCAGTTCCCCTAACCCACCCCAACTCTCACCCAACCACTATACTCACCCTATCATTTAACACATCTATCTGGCACAGAGAACAACCAGTAGAAACCAGTAGGTACCAGAGACAGTCACACCCAACTAGGGTTGCATAAATTGGGTAACTTTCCCAAAAATCCCAGGATTTCCTGAAATTCTGGTTGGAAGATTCCCAGAATCAGAAGGGATATCTGGAAAACCTGGGAATTTGGGGAAAGTTATTATTTGATCTGATTAGTCTTTGTTGTGACTGGTGGTAGAGACAGGTTACAACTGGTTGTTGTCACCCGTAGTCCCTCTTTCTCTATCACATGTAGTCCCTTTCTATCTCCCTATCCTTGGACTGGTTGCGTTGTTTTCTAGTTTGAGCTTACCACCCTCTCCACCCTCACCCTCTCCTGAAGCCTCATATGTAAGCCCCCTTACCTCTACCCCTACCTCTCCTCCTACCCTTCCACTGCTCACTCCATCTTTGCCCAGTAGATCTGCTGGGCCTGCAGCAGGTCTCAGTCTGTTGGCTCCTCTCTGTTTCCTGCTTGTCCAGGATCTATCTGCATCATCAGGGACTGAGAAAGAAAGCACACATACACTCCACACTCACATTGTTGTGGGTTTGGGAAGACAATATTTTCTAAGCTTCTGCCTGTGTCATTGTGATTATCACTTTGTGTCATGTTAAATGGCTGAGATGTTAAATGGCTGAATCGCAGAGGTCAGTTAAGTAATGTCAGTTAGTTCAATGTAGACTAAGGGCCTGAAACTCACAGCCCGCGGGCCAGATGCGGCCTGAGAGCCGATTTAATGTAAATGCAGACCAGATTCAGTATCTTAGCTTTTTTGTCTTCTTCTTGACCCTAAGGCAGAAGCTTAGGAAATATGCCGATAGGCTGCCATCTCACACAAGGCATTACTGTCCCCATGTCATAACACGATACATTACATAGCAACCATACTGCAGGTCTTATAGAGCTTCCTGCTTCCTGTTGCCTTCAGAAGTGAAACTGGGAAGCAACATCGTTTAGCACACTGGAGCTTTATCTTATATCTTATATAAGAGGAGTGGGTTGGGTTGGGTGGCCGGCAGGGCCGATATTATATTCAACTATTAGGACCGCATTAGGACAACACTCGTCTTTCTTAACCCCTAGACAGTCACAGAGCATTTCCCCCCATTCCTCTTCATAATGTCCCAAAAATGACAGACCAGGTGTAGAGGCTTAGACATGTGCCATGAACTACTATTACTACGGTACATGAGAGGTTAGCTAGCTAATCATCAATTTGACTGACATTTCCGTTCATACTGAAGTGCCCATTCATATTAAATATCCAGTGGCTAAATATGATGATGACATTGCAAATACAAGCTGATGACATCACAAAACGTTTAGGCCCAGGATTTATGGATGTAGGCTACTATACTTATGAGTCCACCTCACAAAAATGTACATGGTAGTCATTTTTGTTTAGTTTGCTCAGGTATGAGACTAGCATAGAATTAGAAGGATTGTATTTACATTTGACATTTTAGTCATTTTAGCAGACGCTCTTATCCAGAGCGACTTACAGTTAGTGAGTGTATACATTTTTCATACTGGAAATTATCTATGGCGGCTAGACTGGTCAAAATTCCAATGTCATTTTTGGGTGAAAAATCATGGTACATTTTTTAAGGAATGTTGTAGTCAAACATTGCATTGCCCCAATGAATGAGATCATTCATTGGGTGTGTGTGGTAGGAGGTGAGGGTGGCCCAGTAGACTAATACCTGTAGCAGTGAAAAAACTCACCTTTACTTACTCATCAATTCAAGACAATGTCTATGTTCATCAATTGATTTGCCATTTTGTTTTGAAAACGTGAAATTAAAATTGACAAGTCATAGTAGTAAATAAATTGATAGGGAAGTACGAGAATGGAGAGATGACACCGACAACCATAATAATGAAAGAGATTCTGGAGAGTTAGAATGTTGAGAACTCTTGCTGACTTGAATTTTTCTGGCCGTTGTGATGGAAGGTTGTGTGATGGCGGAGGCCAATGCAAGTCAACAGCTCTGAGAGTGAGCAGCATAACACAGCTTTACATTTGAATATATTGCAATGCTTAACATGCAATGGGCTATACCTACCTACCTGACTGCCTATGGTCACTTGTTAAATGCTATATCTTTAATTATGCTGCTTTGTAACCTCATTGTTACTTTTTGAGCAATGCAATGTACAAGCATGACACAGTCGCCAAGTCATCCTTACACCTTTCTTACTATATATTTTCTAATGAGCTTGCTCTCTAGTCTTTGGTTGCATTTCAATGTTTAGCCATAAAACATTTGTTATATTATTAACTTTAAATGTTTAAAAAAATACCTTCCAGCTGCATCATGTTAAAAACTTGCAGCAGACACGTTAGCAGGAAACATCATGAGTTACAGACCAATCACACAGAGACCTTAGAACCATGGCACCTTAGAACAGAGGTCTGAGTTCTGAGAACCTTAAAACAGATGTGTGAGTTATTAGAACAGAGGGACTGAATTCTAACTCTACACCATCCATTCCTGACTGTCCTTGATTTGTGTCAGAAGATACACAAGTGTCAAATCCACTTGTCAGATAGATATGTAACATAAAGACAAGCAACATTTTGGCCGGTTATCTCTTTATCTCTCTATCCAAAACATTTCTCTATCTGTTTATTTATCGATTTGAACGGTTCTTGAGATTGCACAACAATGCCATCCATGTAACAACACGCATGTACTCTAATTGCCGATGCACATTAAGCACTTTTGAAAGCTATTTTCCCTCTTTGCTTTGAGAATGTATTTATAATATATGATATATACAGGTATATATATATTATATATGATATAAGGCTTGGCCAATTTGATTAAATAAGGCATGGCTAATATTACCTTGAATCTTTGAAAACAAGTTAAATTCTACTACCTCAGTAGGAGCAAGTAGTTCTCTCAGCATGTGCAGTGATATGTGTTCTCCTATGGGAAAGGTGGGAGGTGTGATATTAGTGAGATGATGCGGTATACTGCTAACTCTTTACGCATCGTGATGGTTCCTCTCAAAAGGTAGCTTTCCCTTCACAGCTATTTAATTTTTCACAATAGATTCATACATGTATTATTAGAAGTCCAAGAACAATGAGTAGCCTATGCGCTCTAATTCAGCTACTTCAGTAAGTTATTTTAATAACATTTTCTGGGATGCTCACACAGAAAGAAATTGGCACCCAACTACCTGACTCGTCCATTCTGGCCATATGGTGTTTATCCAACCCAAGTGCCATAGCAGCCAGTAATTCCATATGCCATCATTATTCAAGAGGAACAGTCAAAGGCCTACTGTAGAGAAGAGAGTACCTATGATGTCATCATTTACATGTTAACCTGTAAGAGAAGAGTTAACCTATATTTTTGGTTATAATAAAGACATCCAGTTATGCTAAGCACTAGAAGCATTTGTAAGTAATATTTCTCCAAGAACCAATGGGTAAATCAATAAATATCCATAATTGACATGACCATTGAACAGCTCCCAAAATCCCTGACTAGCTTTAAATAATAATTGCAAGGTCCTGCACATTGCTTAGAGTATGCTGCTCCTGAAGCTCTCAGTCTGCTCTCTGTCTGCCTGACTGTATGCAAGGAGGGAATATGGCTCCACAAAACAAGTCTGTCTGCTAAAAACAGACGACATGCATGCTCAGCTCAGCTGTGTGCCTGAGAGCTGCTGGTCTGGTCGGCCTGCCTAACACTGTTAGTGAGATAGTGGTCAACCCCACTATGCACTACACTCTTAGAAAAAAGGGTTCCCCAAGGGTTCTTCGGCTGTCCCCATAGCAGAACCCTTTTTTGTTCTAGATAAAACCCCTTTTGGTTCCAGGTAGAACCATTTTGGGTTCCATGTAGAACCCTCTACATGGAACCCAAACGATTCTACTTGGAACTAAAAGGGTTCCTCCTCAAACCAACAAGGGTTCTTCAAAGGGTTCTCCAATTGGGACAGCTAAAGGACCCTTTTAGGTTCTAGATAGTGTAGGACGCTGAGCTTAGTGCACATCAGTGTTTGGAAGGCCGGTCTGTCCGGACGCTGGGTAGTGGGGAGATAGAAGCTGTAAAGGAGGCTAGGCGTGGGGCTGGTGATGTGGAAGTGGGACATAGTCTATGGGTTGCGTCTCAAATGGCACACTATTCCCTATATAGTGAACTACTTTTAACCAGAAAGTGCACAACTTTTGTAATATAGTAATGCACTAAACAGTATAGGGAATAGGGTGCTATTTAGGATGCACCCTATGGATCAGAATGCTTTCCATTGCATTGTGTTGAAATGATAGTGTTAGTCTGGGTGGAGGGTGTTTAGAGTCTGTCTTATGAAAAGGGACAGAGGGAGGGAGGGTGGTGAATGTTTGGGAAGAGATGAGGCTGCATACTGGTATGGCAAAACACTTGTAGTTCAATTTTCTGGACAGTTATATGCTCACTCGAAAGGAAAGTGGGGCATGTGCATGTGTGCGCAGACCCCTTAGGCCAGAGTTTCCCAAACTCTGTCCTGATGCCACCCCTGGTTGCACGTTTTGGTTTTAGCTCTAGCACTACACAGCAAGATTTAAATAATCAAAGCTTGATGATTAGTTGGTTATTTGAATCAGCTGTGTAGTGCTAGGGCAAAAACCAAAACGTGCACCCAGGGGGGGGGGGGGCCCAGGACCGAGTTTGGGAAACCCTGCCTTAGGCAATCCTAGCTGTGTGCTCGATCAGATCAAAGACTATTAGTTCTAATTAGAACAGAACTGATACTGCTCTTTCACTGTTATTCTATACTGTACTATATATGATTATACTATACTAAACTATACTATATTATACTGTAATATACTATATGATACTGTACTACACTATACTATGATAATCCTGTACTATACTGTACTACATTATACTAAACTGTACTATACTACAATATACACAAACATACTCTAACTATATTCTTAACTGTACTGTAAACTATACTATATTTCATACAAATATAATAACGTTGAAACACAATTTGTAATATGACTCAATAATAGAACATGGTACCTGTCAAATTCAGTTTCACTACCACTTTCTGCTATAAGATGCCATAACAGTATACAGCTGCTCTGAGGGGGGTTGATAGGTATCATGGAGTATGTTTTGAGTCTCTCACACTGCTCTATCCTCCTGTGTCCCCCGTCGGCTCTGGCCTAGGTGGTAGTCAACGCCCTGGTGGGAGCCATCCCCTCCATTATGAATGTGTTGCTGGTTTGCCTCATCTTTTGGCTGATTTTCAGTATCATGGGGGTCAACTTGTTTGCGGGCAAGTACTACTACTGTTTCAACCAGACCGCAGAGGAGTACTTTCATGCCAGCGAGGTCAACAACAAGACACAGTGCATGGCCCTCATTAATCAGAACTTCTCTGAGGTCAGGTGGAAGAATGTCAAGATCAACTTTGACAATGTTGGCGCTGGATACCTGGCTCTGCTTCAAGTGGTGAGAGTGTCACTTCATTCTCTCCCCTCTCTCTCTCTTACCCCCCACCCGTCCGTTCACTGTTTTTATTCTCCCTCTCCCTTCCATCCTCTTGCACAGCGCTCTGAGGCTCTCCTCTCTCCCCCTCTCCCTCTGTTCCTCTCCTTCTTTATGCGTTTGTCCATTTATAGATTTTTTTTATACTGTTTTCCATATGTCCTCATTTCTTTCCATGTACAAGCTAAGCTCTTCTCCAGGACACACATCACATTTGGGTTTGAGTTCAACATTCTTTTTTCTTCATATGAAAATGAGACTCTTAACTTTTGTTTTGAATATTATAAGTTAATCGGATCTCTTTGTCTCCAAAGGCGACATTCAAAGGCTGGATGGACATCATGTACGCAGCCATAGACTCCAGAAGGGTGGAGGACCAGCCCATCTATGAAGACAACCTCTATATGTACATCTACTTTGTCATCTTCATCATCTTCGGATCCTTCTTCACCCTCAACCTCTTCATCGGTGTCATCATTGACAACTTCAACCAACAGAAGAAAAAGATAAGACTATTTTCTCTCCTCTTCCTCTTTCTCCTATTTTTGCTAAATGCTATAGTATATTATACGGCCTTGTATAAAAAAATTATGAAGGCTCAAACATGCTTATAACATGTTAAAAAGTATTAAACCTGGATACAAAGTCTAACCCTAAATAGCATTTGAAAGTATCACAGTTGAATGTAGGTATTTACATTGTTTGCATACTGCTCTGAATGTGTAATGCAGCTACTGGTGTTACTGTCAGCGTTTGGCTAATGGTCTAGTGTTGTATCATTGGTTAGGGTTAGGTTTGGGTTGTAACCAAATGTTTGTTTATCCCTGTTCTTTAGGTTAGGGCTAGGGTTGGTTGTAACCAAATGTTTGTTTGTCCCTATACTTTGGAGGTCAGGACATCTTCATGACAGAGGAACAGAAGAAGTACTACAACGCCATGAAGAAACTGGGTTCAAAGAAGCCCCAGAAACCCATTCCCAGACCACAGGTTGGCTGTTGCTCTCTGCCTTTATTAGCCTGGCTTTTTATGGAGTGATATTAGTGCCGACAGTTTGTTGGCAGTAATATCACTCCATATTTGTTTAGCCAGCTCAGCACATACAGTATGGGACAAGGCTAGGTCTTTATAGTGTAAAACACTGCCACAAAAGATTGAAATCAGTATTTTCAGTATTTCATTGTTGACGGAACACTGAATAGTGATATGGAAAGATGACAGAGACTGTCGCCTTGTTGCTAGCGCCTACTCAACTTTGTAGTTTTTTGTGTTATTTGTTTTGCATTATTTGCTATTCTGATGTGTTTATTATTTTATATGACTTAGTATACATAACTGCATTGTTGAGGAAGAGCTTGCAAGGAAGCATTTCACTGTACTGTTTACACCTGCTGTATCCTGTGCATGTGACAAATAAACTGATTTGATGTTAACACTGAAATATGGATTTCAATCGATTGTGGCAGTATTTCCCTGCGATTAACAAAATGTGTGTGTCGTTGTTGTTGTTGTTGTTGTTGTTGTCTGTGTGTGTGTGTTTCTCTGCATGCGTACGCGTCTGTCTGTGTGTGTGTGTGTGTGTGTATGTGTGCATGTGTCTTGCTGTTGTCTCCTTGTCTCTACAGAACTATATCCAAGGGTTGGTGTTTGACTTTGTGACCCAGCAAGTATTCGACATCTCCATTATGATGCTGATCTGCCTCAACATGGTCACCATGATGGTAGAGACAGACGACCAGTCGGATGAGACGGAGAACATCCTCTATTGGGTTAACTTCATCTTCATCGTGGCGTTCACCATCGAGTTCGTCCTAAAACTCTTCGCCCTGCGCCACTACTACTTCACCAATGGCTGGAACGTGTTCGACACGGTCGTGGTCATCCTGTCCATCGCGGGTAAGTAGAGTGAGGCTGTGTCTAAAATGGCACCCGGTTCCTTATGTAGTGCACTACTTTTTGTCCAGGACTCAGCGAAAAATAGCTTTTTGTGTGCACTACATCATAACGCACTGATTTTTATCAGTTTGGTGGAAACAATCCGCTGGTGGGAAAATACAATATTTTCTTTATGCCGATTGTAGAATATTCGCATGAAATTCTGTCGCCAATTGGATGGAAACGTAACTATAATTCCAAAGGGGAGAGACATTTTTAAGGTAGACATTGTGTTGAGTCATTTCTGCTGACTGTGTACTCTCTGTCTTGTCTCTACCTTCTTCCTCCACAGGCATGTTCCTGGCTGACATCATTGAGAAGTACTTCGTGTCTCCAACCCTTTTCAGGGTTATCCGATTGGCTCGAATTGGCCGCATCCTGCGTCTGATCAAAGGGGCCAAGGGCATACGGACTTTACTCTTCGCCTTGATGATGTCACTTCCTGCCCTGTTCAACATCGGCCTCCTGCTCTTCCTGGTCATGTTCATCTTCAGCATCTTCGGAATGTCCAACTTCGGCTACGTCAAACACGGGGCCGGGATAGACGACATGTATAACTTTGAGACCTTCGGGAACAGCATGATCTGCTTGTTCATGATCACCACGTCTGCAGGCTGGGATGGTCTCTTGCTCCCCATCCTCAACTACTATCCTGACTGCGACCCAACCATGGAGAACCCAGGTGCACCGTCTACAGGCAACTGCGGCAACCCCTCAGTTGGCATATTTTTCTTTGTCATGTATATCATTATTTCCTTCCTTGTCGTAGTCAATATGTACATCGCCATCATCTTAGAGAACTTCAGTGTAGCGACAGAAGAGAGCGCCGACCCGCTCAGTGAAGACGACTTCGAGACCTTCTATGAAATCTGGGAGAAATTCGACCCCTCCGCTTCCCAGTTCATCACCTTCCAAAAACTGGGTGACTTTGCCGACACCCTGGAGCACCCTTTCCGCGTTCCCAAACCCAACACCATCGAGCTGATCGCCATGGACATGCCCATGGTCAGCGGTGACCGCATCCACTGCCTGGACATCCTGTTTGCCTTCACCAAGCGCGTGCTGGGCGACAGCGGGGAGCTGGATATGCTACGCACGCAGATGGAGGAGCGCTTCGTGGCGGCTAACCCCTCCAAGGTCTCCTACGAGCCCATCACTTCTACACTGCGCCGGCGCCAGGAGGATGTATCCGCACGATGCATCCAGAAAGCCTACCGCGCTCACCTCCTTAAACGGGGCTTCATCTGCAAGCGCAGGCCCAAGACCAAGCTGGAGAACGGAGGGACCAACAACCAGGAGAAGAAAGAGAGCACACCCTCCACCGCCTCTCTCCCCTCCTACGACAGCGTGACCAAACCTGACAAGGAGAAACAGGAGGAGAACGAGGGGGAGAGGAAAGAGAAGGACAGAAACCAAAAAGATGAGCGGGAATCTAAGTGTTAGTTAGGGTTCAGTGACTGTCATTAGTAAATTAAGACACACAGCGAGAACAGACTCTGAGCCCAACAAACAGACAACTGTATAAAAAGATAATTAGCAAGTTTTAAAAAATGTATGAAAACGATACAAACAAAAAAATGTTTACAGACTTAAATACAATACAAAATGAAGGATCGAGATTTGTCGTTGGATACTTAGGGTCGGTTGAAGAAAACCACCGATGGCGATGTACATGTTGCCCACGATAAGGATTTAGTTAGGATACCATCATTATCACAAAAGGATTTTACTGCCTAATGATGAATTTCTTCTTTATATCTTGGAAATAATGTGAGGAAGAACCATGATAATATAAATAATTATCAATAATAACTCAATAATAATAAAGGTGTGCCCGCCATTGGCATACTACATATTACATATATGTTGGGGATTATCGAAAAAAAGGGACAGAAACCCCTGCAAACAAGATGGAGGGAGATTTATTGGAGCAAAGAGTCTCTGACTGCCACCACCCTGTGTGGACGAGCCCCTGCAGCGAAAGGTCCACCACTATGGGAGCACCCCAGGTGTGGAACGGAACGGAACCCTACAGAACTCTCTAGAACTGTTCTACTACGCAGTCTGACCGGGCCTCTGTAACATCCAGTTCCAGTACCGTCCTTCTTATCAAGGAAACATATACAATAATCAACATCTAAGCAAGTTTTAAATACGAAGAATGAAAGATTAGAGAAAGAAAGGAAAAAACCCAGAACAGTAGACAAAGGGTTTTTACTTTTCGTTTGTTTGTGCTGAATATACTTGCGTCTTTACATTATTTGAGCAGCAAAAAAAAAGAACAAATAACATTTAGCCCATGTCACACTAGTCTCTTCATCTTCTCTCTCTTTGTTATACTGACATTATGAAAAATACATTTTCTACATGGGCTTTCACACTGTCACACTGGGTAGGGGGCATTAGTCAATGTTTAGACTTGGGCTGAAGAAGGGCGGGGACTCGCTCTGACCGACCGAGTCTCAGATAACTAATAATTATTGTGCTCGTTCAATGCATAGAAATGACTTGCATGAAGGCATGTTTTGATCAGGAATCATGCATGACGTAATCATAGTCCACAAGACACTAATTCTCTGACCACTACAATGGCTTGACCATACGTTTGAGGCCGTCCACTGGAAAAATGTATATGAGAAATATAACTGGAAAATGATTTATATATGATATATATAAACATCTATATATACAATATTGAAGGAATAAAGTGGTATGACCTACCCTTTACTATATAATGTTGCTTTTCAACTGCCAGACCGATCTTTTTATGAAGCCCGTTGGGATTTTAACAGAGGATGTAGTGAGGCACTCAGAGGCAAAGCTCTATTCAGGCACATTTAAGAAAAACAGAAACTAGAAAGGTTTTTTGCTGTTCTGTATGTTCTGAGAGGGATAGGGAAAGTTGCTGCTGAGTTCTATCAAGAGTATATCTTCAGAATGAGGATGCACAGATTTAGAATAAACTTTTCAGACCATTCTAAAGAAACCAAATCTGGGGCTTAGCAACCTACCTTGATTTACCTTTTTACATCCAACGGTTACCACCCTTACCTGTGTTACTATGGTTACCAGTCTTAGCTGTGTTACTACAGATACTACCCTTACCTGTGGTCTCCAACTAACTCCGTCTTGTTGTTGTTGCTGTGGCAGTACGAACAGGCAATGTTTGATGCCATATCCTGTATAGCCATATCCTTTAGAGATTAGTGTGTAGCGAGCTAAAGTGTCAGTTGAAATTTTAAACTCTCCTCCAATGCTTTGTCTGTCTGTGGACAGAGAAGAGAGAGTGTAATCAGTAGTACTGTAGGGGGAGGTGTAACAGATTTTGAAACAGCTGTTTGAAATGTACTAAAGATATAGTGATGCTTCCATAGATTCGTTCTTCTTTTCATATCTGTTTTATCCACTTCTTTCCTCTGTCACTCAGTTAGTTCCCTATTAGAATATCGTTCACTGTGACCCAGTGGTACATCGATGGCTTTTTCCAGACACTTTGAGTTGCCAGCTCTGAAGTAAATAGATGTCCTTCTCTGAATCTAATGTCCTTCTTGCAATGCAATCATTCTCAGAAGAAAGTTCGACTTTTCGAGCAGTGAGAATGTATGTGGCGTAGTTGGCCATCTATAAAGCAGCATATATACATACTGTAGAAGTAACATAGAGGACAGATAGAGGATACATAGAGCAGCTGCAGCAAGACATGCTCAGTCACTCCTGGCATGATGTGCTGTATGACTAAAAGACAGTCGGGCATGGAAGGCTTAAGGGTTGGACTGTAGAGAATAAAAACAGATCTGATTGGATAGGCTTAATTAGGGAGGTGGAGGATGGTATAAAAATGGACCAATGGAGAGACTCGACAGAACCTCTCCCGGACCCTCCACAGTTTCTAGACTGACTGCCATGAATTAAAATGATCAGAGAAAGTCAAGATGGCGAGCCAGAGCAGCGGGGAGAATAGTGCTTTTGTCTTCATAGGAGTGAGTGCTGAAAGTCCCATGTTTGTCAGTGTATCATTGCGTTTTGTGGGACCTCTTCAACACTGTTTGTAGTGTAGAGATGTTAGACCCAGGCTTGCATCATCATGTCATGTGCTAGCAGGCTATTATTTTATTGGTCACCTGCTGTATGTTTGATAAATGAAAAATCTGCCTGGGGATAAGCTCAAAGTGGCGTGAACCGTCCAACCGTAGTTTCTCACAGATTGTCTCTGTCTCTTCAGAATAAGAGTATTAGACTTCTATCAGATAGGCCTTGTATGACCAACTCGTATCATCTCATGGTAAGTTGATTCATGATTCACAGTAGAATCGTGCCTGTAAGAACGTGTGAGGCGTTTTTAAAGGCAGTTTGAAGCTACTACGACTCAGATTAAACAAGATGAGAGAGCGAGCGCTAGGCCAGGCCAGGCCAGCGTAGGCCGAACCAACGATACGAGTCAGATCTCTTAGTGACAGGCAGGTTAGACAAGACGAGACATAATATTAACACTTCCTCTTTAAGGTGTCTGCTGTTTTTTTCTACACAGGCGTGATGTGATGATCGGTCCTCTATACAAACAAACAAACAAACAAACGGATGCCTGGTCAGACAACAACCTGGTATCTACGGACACACCATTGAAGCCATTGTGGTGTGTTGATTGAACACTGCCTGTACCTGTACCTGATATCCCCATGTCCTGTCTATTATAATACTATCTAGAGGACTGTTTACAATATAAAGACATGTCTCCAGATAACATCCGTCTGTTTGGCTGCTGCACACTTAAAACCAAATACATTCCCGATTGATCGTTCAATGACGATATAACCATAAGAGCAAACACTGTCATCCAATGTTAACCCGTGTTCATTTTGGATCTGATGTTTTAGATGAATGATGCATTGATCATTGAACTTACTTGGAGAGAAAATTAACAAAAATAAGAAATATATGTACAGTGCGGGCTATGGTGGCACAATCACTGAAAAAGAATGAACTTTTTGAGAGAAACTATAAATAATGTACTATATACTTTTATTTTATCGGCATGCTTTGTTGTGTTTTTTGTAAATATGGAATTTTAAAAAAGTACTAATAATAATCTAAAATGAAACAATAACAGTATAGAATGGCTTCCAGCTATGCCCTTTGTCACATTTGTTACCTTTTGGATTTTTTGAGACACTTTTCACTTTGTTGACGGAAATTGAATGAAATATAGATATTATATAATACAAAAATATATATACATGTATACATATATATGTCTATATGTATATACATATTACAAAAGAACACTGTTTGTTTGTCACATTTAATTTATGTGCAACATGTTCAGTGGATGTCTAAAACTGGTTGGTTTCCAGCACCCTACTGTATGTGTTGGGAAATAGCTCATACAATGTCACTGGAGCTGCTGCCATGGATTGTAGCCTGATATGATTACAGGTTTATGCTACCAGCACATTTGTCACATTCTTCTGCAAAATTTTCATACTTTTTCACCTTCACTTAAAAAACACTAACACATACACAGAATAGACACACACACACATACACACACACACACACACACACATTCAAACAGACACACAACTATTCACTCACCAACCTAACTAATCAGCAATTTGGCCCAATAAGGTGAAGTGAGTCGGATGGGACTGCCTCTTCCAGTGAATATGGAGTATGTCTATCCCAACCAAGGCATAGTAGGTCTATCTATCTATCTATTTATCCCTCCATCCATCCACAAGGTCTAGCAGGCCAATCTATCTATCTTTACATGTAAATGTATCTACCCATACATACAGCCACAAACCCTAGTAGGACTACCCACACATACATAAATACAGCCACACCACATCAGGGCCATTACAGTTCAACACTTACAGTTCAACGCTTCAATCATCTCTCACCTTTACTTTGAATGGTTTGTTTCTAATCTAGTGTTATAACTCCACTCATTGGCATGTGCCTTTTTCTGCTTTTTCTGTGATTTTTGGAAGATAATGATACCACACTTAAATGTTCAAAACAGTGGAAGGAGGGAACAGGTGAGGTTGGGGTGGTCGTTGAGTTGAAACACGACACCGTCTGTCCGTACGATATAATGCAAGGAGTCAGAAATAATACTGCCGGGGATCAGATCATCCTAACAACTACTACAAGCGAGCAAACAAACTTACACCCCACTTCTTCTCTTCTAGATAGACTTCAACAATGTGATGTTACCTAACAAAACAGCTCAAACTGAAAACGTTATGTTTCTCGTGCTTATGTGTGTCACCCACTTCTATGGCTTGTGAAAAAGCAGCTTGCCTTCTATATTTCTGTTCTTTCCATCTGAAATTTATTTTTGTATCAATATTGAATTAATTAAATTATGGGACTCTGTTTTCTTTTTTTCTTTTTTAGCATGGATTTATTATAGGCTTTTTTTCTTTTTTTGCTGAAAAATA